TGAGGGGTGCAAAAAAAGTAGGAACCTTGTAATTGAACTTGCTCTTGTACTTAATTCGCTCATTAAGAAGAGCTTCAACGTCGTCTCTTGTGAACTCAACGGGACCATATTCAGATCCCGCCGTGCTCGCCGGAGCACTGTTCGACGTCAGATCTTTTGACCCATTTGCCACCGGAAAAGCTGACCGGATTCTTCCATTGTTTGCCATCGCCCCCACCATAACAAGTCGAAATTTTTGTTCTCTTCTTTGTCACCTAATTCACTTCAAATTCCTCTCTTCTCTGCCAATCAAAGCATAAACCTGCAAAAACGGTAGAGATCTTTATAAAAAATGATAAATTGAGTAAAACATTAAATGAAGAAAACAAAAATAGGAAGGAAACCCGTGAAGAAGAGATTTTTAACGATTTAGACTAAACATTGATTTGAACGAACAAACAACATTTTCAGGAAACAAACTTATTAAAGATTGGAACTTTAAGAGAGAATATTAAAAAGCAGAGAAACCCACTGAATGAATGTGGATTTCAGATAGAGAAAAAACATGCCCAGATTTGCAAGAAGTGATAAAGAGTGGAAGAACACGAAAATAATGAAAAAAGAGGACCTTTGGCATTTAAGAGGGTCTGTGTCCTTTGTACTAAGACGATTTGGGTTTAGAAGAAATGGAGGCACGTTTCAGTTTTGTGCCTCTCTCTCTCGTCTCTTGATGCTGCTGGCTACTTCTTTTCTATATTTTTGTTGTTTGAATGTTCAAAGAGAGAGAGAGAGGAAGAGGAGAGAGATGAACGTGGGGCCGTTGATTGGATCTGAAGTCACCGAGTGAATGCAATCACAGCCGTTGCTTTACTAAGCAGCAAAGCAAAGTAAGAATTTGGGGGAAAAATGTTTAATGTTAGGAATAGAGCAGTGGGGGTGAGGTCAGTGGACTCATTATGACTTTAATCCTTACACCCAAAAAAAATAATGAATTTCGTTTTTTTTTTATATAACAAATTTGTTATAGAAAAAGGAAAATTTGTAAAAGTAAGATTTTCCCTATTGATAATGGTCTAGTATTTGTAGATGGAATCTTGTTGTTGAGTTGTTAAACAAAATGTAAAATATCGTACCATAGGTTGTATCGGTAATCTCACAGATTTAATATAGGAAATTAGATAAACTAATGACGATTTATTAATAAAAAAATTAGAAAAGCTAACAGTAACGTGTCGGTAAATAAGATACGTCAGCATTTTCAGACAAATATAGATTCCTTTCAGAAAAAGTGGATATTTTCTATTTACCGAAAATACCCTTAGCATTGTTCCAAAGATTGTTCGAAGGAGTCACGTTTCTGGTTTGAAAAGGTATGGGCTAAAATTGTCCGAATGAAAAATTGTCTTTTGTCGTCTTATTCTTAGATTCTGTCTCGTACCCTGGCGATATGTCAAATTTCATGCGAAAAAAAAATATACAAATAAAATGTAAAACCTTATATGTGGTCCGACCCGAGGCTCAGAGCAGAGCGAGTTTATAAGAGATTTGGCAGTTGAAATATCGTCGTTGATGTGGTTTGAGAAATTGATGTCAAATTGACGTAATTAAAATATTATGCAGTGAACTAAAACGACTTGTTACTTGTGACTTGTGACTTGTGAAATATTAAATTTTTATGGAAAAAGGATGCAATGTACATGCCATCACCTTATATAGTCGCATTTCAAAACCAAAAAAATTGTCAAAATGTTTTTTTAGTTTAGGTTAGTGAATCGTGGACATAGAGACATTCAGTGCATTATATTAGAGACGCACTAATCATTTTTCAACTTTATACACTCTACAAATATTAATAATTCGGATCTTGGATTACACAAATAGAAATAACATCTCAATAGTCCGTTACTCCGTTTAACTCCATAATGTTTCTTTATAAATAAAAATCATAATGTTACAAACTTTTTAATTTACCATTTGGATAAAGCACACATACTACTTTATGCAAAGGTGATTAATAATGCAAGGATCATGCCAAATCTGATTTGGTCAAACTAAAGTATATATCATTATAATAATTAAGTATTACTAAAAAAAATATTAGACTATGGCTTTTTGTAAAAATCGTGGCGTCGAATATTAGGTTGAACAAGTCTGGAATACCGAGTTAGCAAAATTGTATGATATATAATATAAAACTCATTTCATAGTTTATTGTTATGTTTGAATGATATGTGGCTTCCATGTAGCTTATATTGGAATTTTTGTTGTCAGACGAAGTGGTCTCCGTTGGAAATTTCGAAATTAATTAAGAAAATACAGCTAAAATAGAAGACAGGTTAATTGAACATCCAAACCTAATTATGAGCACTATCTTAAAATATTTTGGATTGAAAAAATTGAAACTGACATTAGAACGACAAATATATGTATATAGGTTGTTTATAAGAATAAAAATATTAACGCCGTTGGTCGTAATCTTTTCATAAATCTCATGACCAAACAAAACATGTTTATTTAATAGATTATCTCCTTAGTTCAAGAATTTAATATAATTTTAGTCCCTCAATAACGTCAAATGGGTGCCAAGTATTTTTTGTTTTCCTTTACAACTTTATAGAAACGTGATTTAGTTCATGTGAGACTTCAGCGTTAAGCCATGATATCCCTCATCTAACTGAATCAAACTATACACCAAAAAACAATTCGGAATGCAATACAACTCGACATGTATCTTGCATAATCCAAAATAAGCCAAATTTTCTTACATCAGATTGTAACTAACGATCTACTATTTACAATTAACATGCATATCAAATTATAAACAGGCCAATCTATTGCATAACATGAAGTCTCAAAAATCTAAAACCCATAATATGATGTGTATAAACGTTAGTGATGTTTTTTAGACAATTTTTTATTTACTATAAAAGTTAGATGCCAAGGAAATGGCACCGAACACTTCACATATGAATAAAAAGTTGTTGCCGGATCAATTTTTTAATTTATGGTCGAGAGCTCCCAAGTTTTCATCTAAAGTCATTTTCTCACACCACTTAAGACTTACTTCCTCTGTTAAAAAAAATAGTTTAATAGTGTTCTGTTATATACTTAACTTGTTCCACTAACACACTATAAACACTAAACACCACTAAAGAAACAAACAATTCAACACAACAAAACAAAACTTTTTCCTTCCCCATTCGAAAAAAATAAAATAAAACACATTATCACATATTTTTCATTGTATGTCTATGAACATTTTATTGGAAAATTTACGAAATTGAATATATCGAAAATAAAGAACACAAACATTTGGGTGTTGAATCAAAGATGTTTGCTTAGATTCTTCATGGTTTCTGAAGAGAACGGGAAAATTATCTCCGAGATATTCGTCCCATACATAAATATGAAGATCTACTCTCTTGTTCATTGTTTTGATCAATAATGTGATAAACTTTAAAATAGAGTTTCGGTGTATAAAAGGAAGAATGAATAAAACGTAAATGATAGAGTTATAGCCCAAAACCCATTTTACTATTTCTGATTTTGAAAAGTACACAAAAAATACACTTTCTAAATTTATCTAGAAAATCTTAAAATGTTAAACCAACACTGAAATATAGTTAATCTTTATCAAACCTTTCATTAAAGTAATATATACACACTTCTAAAATATTATCACATTGTTATACGTTTGTGTACAACAAAACATATATTCATGAAACATATTTGTTTTAAGAAACTCGGAAACTAGAATAAAACTGACATATGATACTAATAAACATACATTTTTCCTTTTTGTAAATAAAACTATGTGCCTCTACAAGTAGCTAGCAATTATTGATATGAGACAATAATTCGTTTGAATTTTGATTTATGTCAAACAAAAATAAAAAATGCAGATGAATATTTGAATGTAGTCACATTTTTATGTAAACAAGGGATTCTGTACATTATGAGAATATCTTCTATTGGCAATGGCAAAGTAACTTCTACTATGTCTATGGGTAACTATTTTTTACAAATAGATTTCCACAAATTTTCAGTGTATAAAGTGAGAATTCAGTAATGTCGTCTAACTAAAGAGAAATGTAGTTTGTGACATGTGTAGTTCATGTTTACGTCGGTTACATTGGTGACATCTTTTTAATCTTCTATTGCAAAGATTAATATAAGATTTTCATGCAAACAAAAGAGGTACTAAAGGCGAGTATTTTAGTACATTATGTTATGTATGTAAGTATTGTTATCATATATATATATGGGCCACTAAAACAAGCTGTGTTTTTGTTTGGGTAATAAAACTTTAACCAGGTGTTTGACTAAAGCCCATATAAGTAAATTAAGGAAAAACAGTTGTAAGTTTGTTCAAAATCGCTTATTATCTTAGATTTTGTATTCAATTTTGTCATATGTTCTTTGATCATTCCATTTCCCCTCGTTTATAAACTCAAGTAAAGTCAATTACTAGGAGTATATAGAGAGGAAATCGACCTGACGTGTGTTGCATGCATGTAATTGCCCTAAATTTTTCCACCAAAGAAAAAAAATGGAAAGAATGATCAAAGACACGATTAACCAAGAGCGCACATGAGAATTAGAAACTAATTTTAGCAAAAAAAAGGGATTAAACACAATAAGTAGGAGATTGACGAGCTAAAAATGCTTTTGTGAATTTCAGGAAAAGAACAATCAACTAGTTACTTTGGAAAAAGGAAATTCTGCGTCAACTTCTAATACACAATCGATTATCAGGAAAAATACATACATACGTTCCAATATAATCTATAATCGATTGTGTATTAGAAGTTTAGAACGTATGTATGTATTTTTCTATCTTATTTTTTCATTTGTCTATAATATTCAATTTAGTCTCAGTAAAAAGTATATATACGCTTTTCTCATCAAATATACTAATATAGCATGTTGCATGTGTATCGATCCACCATTGAAAATCATTACATATCTGTCTATAGTTAAGAAAAAAATCTAAAATTAATACTCATCAAGAGCACATCAGATTAAAACTTGTTCTTGGAACTGATCTTGGGGATTTTGATCTCTAAGAAAGAGTAGTCATCTTTGTTGGAGAGGAAAGCTTCGGAGTTTTTGGTGTCAGCGTCACCTGGAAGCTCGAGACGGCGAACGTAGCCGTATTCCCACCACCGACCGCTTCTCCAGTCGCCATTGGCCACTGTTTTCTTGTTGCTGTTCCATTGGCCACTAATCTCCATCACTTTTCCGTTAACGTTCACGTACACCTGCACATTATTTTTGCCCACCGCTAGTAGCCAAGTACCCAAAGTTTGATCAGTTTAATCATCCAATCAGAATTTTAGGTAATTAGGAAAACAAGTTTTTTTCTCCTGTTTACCCTTTATAACATAAAATTTTAAAACTATTCACCTTTTTAGCTATCAAAAACTAAAATCAAAAAGCCAAAAGTTTCAAACAAAACTCTCCAGCCATGGAAGGTCTTAAATATTAATATTTCTCATTCTCATGATACATAAGAGTTGTAGGATCCAAGTTTTTGTTTATATTCAATATTGTTTTAATAGAGAATTAATTAGAGTGAAAAAATAGCTATTCTCATGATTTGCTATCTTTTAATCTATAATAGTATACTGTATATCCTTATTTTTTTATAAACAATTTAAAGCCCGATCACATTTTAACATTTTCAACACAACTCGTTCCATTTCTAAAGTTGTAGCTCGGTGTTAGGTCAAATCTTTTGTTAACATCTTTTTTTAGATGTAATAAAACATCATTTCATTTTTCTCTTGATAAAGCTAAAATAAAGAAAACATATATATAAGAGAATCGTAAGGAATATATACCGGGTAGATCGGCTTTAAGAAGATAAGCTTGATCGGTTTGAGACCAATCAACTCTACACTGTCCTAAGCTCCTGAGGCTCGCCAGCAAAACCTCTGCCTCAAAGTCCCATAAGGGAAACGCATCTGAGGGATCAAAGTACTTCCCGAACAAAAACGGGCTGAAAATAGATCCCTCGCCAAACACAGCCTTCTCTGAGCCTCCCCCGCCGCTCAAGAACCTCCGGAAAACTTCCTCACCGAGCGGTACGCTCCACTTTCCCGGCGTCTTGTCGTCGCTGTGGAATATCTCTAGTTTGAGGCTTCCACTACTACTCGTCATGAGAGAGATTGAAACGAATAAAAAAGAAGAAAAGTGGTTGGCTGTGTGTGAGAAAGCTTTGGAATCAGAGTTTGTTCTTATAGTCTGAGTATTGAGATAGCTAATAAATAAAAATAAAAAGGATACAAAAAGCTTACCAAAGGAATTTACAGTAAGAGGCGAATCCAGAAGAAATTTTTTACAGCTAGCCGAGTACAAAGATAAAAGTAATAAGATAGAGTGGTATAGTTCTTATGAATCATTTATTAATAAAACAAAATTTCTTTTATTATTATTGAAAACTCGGATACGTGCATCACTACAAAGTCTACAAGAATATCAAGTTTAAAATCAACGTGCCTGGTTAATTACTAGTCTACTAGATGTAGCGTACCACTAATTTTCATAACATACAACAATCTAGTAATCATGTACGTCGATTGACATGTAACAGTATTTGAAAAGTATAATAAAATCAATATACTAAAATAGTGTAGATACAAAATATGATTAAATCTAAAGCTTTGCGAAAAGAAATCTAGGTTCATGTAATTACGTCTACACAAAAAGAATTGAATTAAAACTTTAGATGATCTATAATATACTGATAATAAGTAGGATTTTTGTATCAACTACTCTCAATCCATACCACTCATGTCATTGTAGTACTTGAGATGTCAATCCAAGTGGAGATTTAAACTATCGAAATAAAGAAAAGGCAAAGATCAAGTTTTGATAAAAGATTGGGTTTTGTTTTGTAAAGATCTATGCTTTAAGCTAACAAGATGAAATAAAGATTTAAACTTTACAATAAAAGATAAAGGAGGCGTCTTGGGTGAGACTTAGTTGGGATCAAACGAGCTCAACCTTCCTTTCTCAACACACCAAGACTCAAGCTTTGTGCTTAGACTTTGGGTAAATCTGCCACTCTCGTGGTCAGATCGCTTTGCAAGCTGAGAATCCAAAGCTAGCTCTCACTAGTGGACTCAAAGTTACAAGCTTTCACAAGATCTAGTCTAAAAGTGCACAAGATACATCCCAACAACCAATCTCTTAGGTTGGGAATGTTTCTCTCTATCGCTAGCTCTCTTAGGCATTAACGCAAACACCTTCTAGGTGTACTAGCCTAGATTCGCGACTTCAAGTGATCAAGAAGAAGCCGAGATATAAAGCTCTAGCTAAAGAAAAGCTGGTCAAGGGAGATTAAGGAAGAGGTTAACAGGAAGCTAAAGCTCTGACCTTTCCTAATCTCACCCTCGAAACCTCTAAAGAACTACTCGCTACTCATACTCGAACCGAAAGCAAAGAGGTAAAGAAAGCTAGAAATCATCATTAAGACAAGATTAGCAAACTAAGTACTTCTTAAACTTAAAAGATTCAAAGTAAAAGCTTACAAAAGATCTCCAAGAACAAACTGTTTTTCTTGGAGAGAAACTGGTTACAAGATAAAGATTGCCTAAAAATTAGGTCTTAAAGGTTTATATAGAGAAGGGAAAAGTGTATCCTTTGAGCAACTTCCTCAAGCACTCTGTTTCCTTTTGCTCAAGGCTCTGTTCCGTCTTGCTTGTTTTGCCATCCGATTACTCCGATCTCCTTCTGGTCCATCTCCGATCATCACCTCCGGTCCTCCTTCGCCATAAGCTCCGAATACCTGATAAATGCACCCCAAATGCAATGGAAATGCAAAATGCTATCCTAAAGGCTAAATGATCCTAAGTAGACTAAAGCTACACTAAATGTTATGAAATGGGACTCAATTATACACAGAACTATGCAGTATGAGAGGCTAAATGTATGCAAATGTTGAGTACATCAACACCCCCACACTTAGTCTTTGCTTGCCCTCAAGCAAACATCAACCAAGCATAAGAGTGTTCTCTGAGCAATAGAGTCAAGTGAAAGCCGAGAAGAGAAATTGAATCAACAACCTAGTTCCAAGGTCTAAAGCGCAAAAGATGTTCTCTACTTCAAAAATCTTAGCCGCACCTTCATAATTACAATCAATGACAACTAGCTCAACCTAAACATGCATTCAAATCCTCTACTCCTTTTAACATTCATTAAAGCTCAAAACAGTGAATCAAAACACATGCAAGTCAAGTTAACTCGTTTGGCCAGTGGAAAGAGAGAGAGCAAATCACAATGCAAGCTCATGTCAAATGACAAAGGAAGGGTTCTCTCAAGAAGAAGTGAAACAGCTTCGGCATAATGCTAAAGGCGAGAACCAATTGGGAGGTACAAGGACAAATGATCATCTACCCGAAACCCCAAGTACCTTTTGGTGACTCTCAAATCCGAAACTTCCTATTTCTACCCTTTCCCTTTGGGTTTTCCTTTTCCTTTTTCTTAGAGCTTTTTGAAACTTTTAGCGAATTTTTCTAAGGCTTTTTGAAAGATAAACTCGAGAGACTTGGTCTAAACTCTTGCCCTAACCCATCTTTTCCTTTTGAAACTCTTTTTTCTTTTTTTTTTTTTTTATTTTCTGATGGGGGCTTTCTTAAACTCACAGACCAAGCTCTTAATCTACCTCTTAAAACGCTTCTTTTCTTTTTGCTCACAAGCTCTTTCTTTCTTTTTCTTTTTGAATACCCCAAGACATTCCCAAACCCAAGTCCTAACCTAGTCTGGCCCAAAAAGCGTGGACCAGAATCTACATGATCACCTATCCTTGTCGGCTCAAGACCTAACACTTTATGCCAAGCTTTTTCACAACACACAAGAACAACATTTGGTTTGAAAGGAAGGGTTGGTTAAGGGCAGGGAGTTCTACTTGAATCAACAAAGAAGGATGAACAATAATGCAAAGATGATTCAAGTATGTATAATCCACGAGTTGAACTTAACAAGCATGAGCATGATAATTGATGTTCAGGTTCAGGTTTCACTTAGACAAGGAGCAGATTCAAATCAGCAATGCATTCGGTTTTACTAAGACAGTCATGATGCTTTTTGATGATGCGGTTCTACCTTAACTTCAAGAACTATCAAAAGCGCCAAACAACTTAGAACTAGGGCACTGAAGCAATTCCGCAACTCAATCAATCAGCTCAACAAACATTGCTCAGATGCAAATGAAATGATCTTAACTACATGCTCTGTTTTTGGTTTTTTTTTTTAGCAATGCAAAAATGAAAATTTTACATGATTTTCTAAAGATGCAAATGCATGAGACTCAAGGTTATGCAAAATATAAAATAAGAACATAAAGCACTTCGTCAAATACCATTGACCCTCTCCCCCACACTTAGTTCACACGGTCCCTTGTGTGATAAGAAGGCGGAAGAGAGAATCAAAGCAAAAGATAAGTGAAAATAAGAAAAATGAAAAATGCATGCTATTTACATGGTTGGGGTTCATACCTCTCAGAAAGAATCTGAGGAGGAGGATGATGTGGAATCACCCTTTGGTGCTCGCTTGAGGTGACTTCGAGGCCTTCCTCTTCCTGGTTGAGGTCTCTGCCGTTTGGAATTTGGAGGAGCCTTCATCACCTTCTTCGGAGTCCTCGACTACGTCGTCGTCATGATAGGAACCGAGGTGTATCGGAGGAGTGTTGTCGGAGTCGTGGCTGGGAGACTTGCTCTTGCCCTTGGTCAGCTGCTTGATGCGCTTCCCCATCTTCTTCACGGTCTTGAGGAGGGACTTGATCGCTTTGTCCTGGAACTGGTTCCAGGCTTTTAGCGTGTTGATGCTCTCAAGTGCGGTGTTAGCCGCTGACTTCCTCCCTTTGATCTCGTGGTTCTTGAAGTGGAACTCTCCGGTTTTGTAGTCCATGAGGTTCTCCACGTCGCCTGAGCTCTCACCTTCGCCAGCTGCTCCAGGGTGAGCGTAGTCTTCCTCCTCTTGGCCTTGCTCGAGAATGGTCTCGATAGGAGGCTCAAAGTCTATGTTCTCTGACCGTGATGTAGGTCAAGGGTGGTTTGGAGGAAGAAACTCGCCAGCCCGTATTCAAACTGCCTATAGGCGAACTGATAGTTGTGGCGTCCGCTGATGGGTTACCGCGAGGTAAGGTGCTCTTGCGGAGGTACTGGATGTTTATCGCCTGAGGATCGACCGGCTTCTCAAGCGTGATTCCCAGTTCATGAGGATCGGCGTTATGAGTCCTCCACAGCTCAGCTGACCACTGCTTGCCTTGTGCACTTTGTTGAGAGAGAGAGCATACTCCCTGTAGCTGAGGAAGCTCTTGAGAAGATACGTCGCCACGCTGTTCCCTGATCTGTCCCCGACCATCTCAGTCCATCCGGCAACGTGTGAATCACCTTCTTCATCCCTTCATTTAGGAAGAAGAGCTCCTTTTCGGTGACACCAGTAACATCTCGCCTCGCATAGATGGTGTGAGCGAGGGCCTTGTGGACGTATCGGAGCACGGGGTTCCTGATGTGTGTGCTCTTGGCAGTGCTAGCCATGTACTCGCCAACTCCGATCATTGCCCAGAAGGCTTGAAGCTCCCTTGTGGCGTTCCAGGCTCTGTTTCTCGCCCATCTTTGTGTTCAAAATGAAACACATCCTCCAGCTCTTGAAACTCATCCGGTACTTCCTCTTGTTGATTCGGAAGGAGAACCTTCCACTTCCATGACCCTCAGGCACGATCTCGTCAGGCTCGTAGAAGTTAACTCGGAGAGTGGAGAGGAACTCGATGGTTTCCTTCTGGTAGCAGGCAGAGGGTTCATCATCAGCCTCGTAAGCCGTCAGGTCAGGGTATCTCGTCCCGACGAAAGACATCTGGTCGAAGATCTCGGCGTAGTCCTTGCTCTTCATGACCCGGATCCGCTTTTCCTACTGCCTGAGCCTTCCTCTGTCACCGGTTTCTTTCCTTCCGCCTTCTCCGCCGCGGCTCTCGAGAGAGTTCCTCTTGTTGTGGACACCATTGTTCCTGTGGAACAAACAAAAACTCACAAACAGAGTAAGTTCTCTAGCCAAATAATGTCACTCGCAAGGCTTAGAGAAGAAACAGATCAAGCAAGTTGAGATTCGAGATAAAAATCAAAGCTTTAGACAGATCTCAACTAAAAAGGTCGATTAAAACCGGCGGTGAACTCAAATCTCGGAAAAACAGAGACATGCAAAACAGTTTTCAAAAATCCAAACTCAAAATCTCTCTTTCAACCTTAACCCGAAACAAATCCGACCTCTACTAAGCGAAAATCAAAACCAAATCTAGCCAAAGTCGGAGAAATTACCGGTTGAGCGCAGAAAACGGTTTGAAAGTGAAGAAGAAAGAGCGAAATAGTAGAGAGAAAGATGGAGATTTTTCTTTTCACAAATCGGGAAAAAGGAGAAGTATGAAAGAGAGATGTTTGGCTTGTCTCGGTTTTGTAAAAGGTAAAGTAGAGAGAGATGGGGTTGCGGAAAAATCGGAGGAAGGATTTGGATTAAAACCGCTGTCAAATCACAACTTCCCCAATTGACTACTTTCTCTCTCCCACGTTCCTTTTTCTCTCTTTTCTTTTTTTTTTCTTTTTCTTTTCAAACCGAGACAAAATTCCGGATAAAACTCGATCAAAACTGTTTTCATTTGGGCCTTATAAACAGGGATGGGCTTACCTGGCAACGATTTTTGAGAAAGCCTAAGTCTTTTCAAAAATCGTTGCATCGTTCTTCTTGATCAGTTTGCTCAAGCTTATCGTCAGGCTGACCGAACACTTCCTTCATCTATACACCTGAGCACTTATAAAAGCTAAAACAAGAAAGATTAAGCAAAAATAAATATATACAAAGATAACCATGGGACTTCCTCCCAAGTGAGCTTGTTTTGAGTCCCATAGCTTGACTTTCATAACCTTTTAGGCTAAGGGAGCGTCCGGAAGAGGAGTTGAGACTCCTTCTCCTTGAATGCGTTGGCCCAAATACGGTTTGAGCTTGTGGCCATTCACCGTGAACTCCTCGCCATTCTGTTGTTAAGCAAAGTGACAGCTCCATAAGGAAGGACGTCCTTAATCTCAAACGGGCCCGACCACTTGGACTTGAGCTTCCCAGGGAACAACTTAGCTCTCGAGTTGAAAAGCAGCGCATATTCTCCAACCTTGAAGACCTTAGGCACAATTTTCTTGTCGTGAAATGCCTTAGTCCGTTCTTTGTAAATCTTGGAGCTCTCATATGCGTCCAGCCTGATCTCTTCCAACTCATGTAAGTCGAAACCCCTCTTCTCTTGGGCAGACCTGATGTCGAAGTTGAGCAGTTTGATTGCCCAGAGTGCTCTGTACTCAATCTCCACCGGAAGGTGACACGATTTCCCGTAAAGGAGCGAGAAAGGTGTCCTTCCTATTGGCGTCTTATAGGCGGTCCTGTAAGCCCAGAGAGCGTCGTCCAACTTAACTGCCCAGTCCTTCTTGGTGACTCCCACAATCGTCCTGAGGATCCCCTTTATCTGCTTGTTCGACACTTCCACTTGACCACTTGTCTGAGGATGGTATGGTGTCGCTACCTTATGCTTGACTCCATACTTCTTCAGTAGTTCTCGAAGACTTTGTTGATAAAGTGGCTTCCTCCATCGCTTATTACAACCCTTGGCACTCCATATCTCGGGAAGATGATGCTTTTGAATAGCTTGAGCACAACCTTGGCATCGTTCGTTGGGGAAGCGATTGCCTCGACCCACTTGGACACATAGTCAACCGCCACAAGGATGTATCTATTCCCGTGAGAAGGTGGCTCGAAAGGGCCCATGAAGTCGATGCCCCATACATCAAACACTTCCACCTCAAGTATCGGGTTTTGTGGCATTTCATTGCGCTTGGAAATGCTCCCTTCTCGTTGGCATCTATCACACCTTGCAATGAAGTCGTGAGTGTCTTTGAAAAGGCTTGGCCACCAGAATCCGGCTTGAAGAACCTTTGGAAGCTGTTTTGAAAGTCGCAAAGTGACCTCCGTAGCTCGATCCGTGACAATGCTCGAGTATTCCTCTACTTCCTCCTGAGCTATGCACCTCCTAAACAGACCATCCGATCCTCTCTTGAACAGGTATGGTTCGTCCCAAAAGAAGTGTGAGATGTCCCTGAAGAACTTCTTCTTCTGGTAAGGAGATAGATCGGCCGGGACCTCTCCACACACCAAGTAGTTGGCGTAATCTGCATACCAAGGCGCTTCCTTTTCCTCAACTGCCTTCAACTGCTCTAACCGAACTGCCAAACCTACGCTTTTCCCAGACTTTCCACCAAGAGTACTGTTCCTCAGGCAGAGTATCGTCGATAGGTGCTGGTTCCATTTACTCTCATCCTTGAGAGATGATCCGCAACTCCGTTCTCAACCCCTTTCTTATCCAAAATCTCGAGATCGAATTCCTGGAGAAGAAGTATCCATCTCAGGAGCCTTGGCTTGGTGTCCTTCTTTGCCAACAGATGTCTTAAGGCCGCATGATCAGTGTAGACTATCACCTTTGAACCCACGAGATAACTTCTGAACTTCTCGAACGCAAAGACTACTGCCAAGAGCTCTTTCTCAGTTGTTGCGTATCGTCCTTGGGCATCGTCCATGGTTCTGCTTGCGTAATATATCACGTGGAGCTTTCTTGTCTATCCTCTGGCCAAGCACAGCTCCCACGGCGTAGTCACTAGCGTCACACATGATCTCGAAAGGGTAGTCCCAGTTTGGTGCTTGCACAATCGGGGCCGTGACCAAGGCAGTCTTGATCATCTCAAATGCCTTAAGGCACTCCTCGTCAAACAGGAACTCAGTCTCCTTGCACAAGAGGCGTGTCAAAGGACGAGCTATTTTGGAGAAGTCCTTGATAAATCTCCGATAGAAACCGCGTGCCCAAGGAAACTTCTCACGTCCTTGACTGTCTTTGGTGGAGCAAGCTGACTCATCACCTCAATCTTTGCTTGATCAACCTCTATCCCCTTTTCTGATATCTTGTGTCCCAAGACGATCCCTTCCCTGACCATAAAGTGACACTTCTCCCAATTGAGCACTAGGTTCGTCTCCTCGCAGCGCTTGAGAACCCTGCACAAGTTGGACAAACAAGACACAAAGGAACTGCCATAGACAGAAAGTCATCCATAAACACTTCAACAGTGTCCTCAATCAAATCCGAAAAGATGACGTCATGCACCTTTGGAAAGTCGCCGGAGCGTTACACAATCCAAAGGGCATACGTTTATAGGCAAAAGTTCCATAGGGACATGTGAAGGTGTTTTCTCTTGGTCATTAGGGTGGATGGGGATTTGAAAGAATCCCGAATAGCCATCAAGGAAGCAATAGAAAGGATGGTTTGCCAACCGCTCAAGCATCTGATCGATGAAAGGCAGTGGAAAATGATCCTTCCTAGTCGCCGCATTGAGCTTTCGGTAATCTATGCACATTCGGTGACCGGTTATGGTTCTGGTTGGGATCATTTCGTCTTTTTCGTTCTTGACTACTGTGATTCCACCTTTCTTGGGCACACAGTGTACCGGCGAGACCCAAGTACTATCCGAGATAGGGTAGATCACGCCGGCGTCAAGCAACTTAAGGATTTCCTTTTTCACCACCTCTTTGAGGTTGGGATTTAAGCGTCTTTGGTGTTCAATAGATCCCTTAGATTCGTTATCAAGGTGAATGCGATGAGTACAAAGCTCAGGAGATATGCCTTTGATGTCCTCTAAAGAGTAACCAATTGCTCTCCTGAACTTCCTCAACTCATTAAGGAGGGAGGTTAATTGGGGTGGGGTAAGTTCTTGGTTCACAATTACGGGATAAGTTGAATTTGGTCCAAGAAATGCGTACCTTAGCCCATCTGGTAAGGTCTTGAGGTCCACCTTTGGGGCTTTGAGCTCGCTCCAGTCATCGTCTGAAGGTTGCTCGAGGTCGTGCTCTGCCTCTACCTTGTGGATTTCCTCAACTCTCACGGAGCGTCCTATGATTTCCTCAACCACGTCATTGGGAACAGTCCCTCTGTGGGAGTCTAAGAGTCGAGCATACTCCAAGGATTCGGTGTTGAAGTAGCTCTTTTCCTCCGCTTTCTCAGTCAAGGTTAGCTGAAGCTGGTCCTCTGTGGCTAACTCCTCTAGATACTCGTCTGCCAACTGATCCAAAGTCTCTACCCAGAAGAGCTGTCCATCAATGGTTGGTTTCTTCATCGATCTCTTGATGTCGAAGCTGAGCTTGAAGTCATCTCCAAAGTTTAGCTCAATCTTCCCTCTCTGAACATCGATGATAGCTCCAGCGGTTGCCAAAAAGGGCCTTCCCAAGATCAGCGGATCCTTGGGTTCTTCATCCATCTCAAGGATAACAAAGTCAGTGGGTATCTCCACGTTTCCTACTCGCACAGGCAAGTCCTCGAGCATACCCACTGGGATGCGTACTGATCTATCCGCAAGTACCAAGGAAACGTCGCACTTTTGATACTTCTCGAACCCAAGCCTCTTAGCTACTGTGAGTGGCATTACAGATACACCTGCTCCAAGATCACATAAGCTTCGGTTGAATGCCAGAGGACCAATAGAACAAGGAAGAGTGAAACTGCCTGGATCCTCAAACTTCTTCCCAACCACTTTCCTAGTGATGATTGCACTACATTCCTGAGAAAGAACGACCATGCCCTGAACCTCTTTTCTTCTCTCGGTTACAGCGTCCTTGAGAAATTTCTGATAGGGAGGGATGAGCATACATGCGTCCAAGAAGGGCATTGTAATATCAATCTCCTTTATTTGCTTATCAAACAGGCTCTGCTTTCTCAAGCTGTTGTTTCTTGAATCGAACAGGAAAGGGAAGTTGCGGTTTGTAAGGAGGAGGAACGAAAGCTGGGGCTTTCTTCTTCTTTTGCACTTCCTCTGGTGCTTTCTCTTTCTCTTGAACTGGTGGTTCCTCTTCAGTCACAGGTGCCGTGGCTTCAGTTTCAACTGAAATCTCCTCCTCTTGTTCCTCAATGTCCTCATTGACTGGTGCGGGTCCTGTTCTTGGAGGTAAAGCGCGTCCACTTCTCAATGTAATTGCTTGTACGTATTCCTTGGGATTCTGCTCTGCTTTACCCGGAAGTTGACCTTGCGTTCTGGATGAGGAAGCTGTTCCGCCTTTGTGTTCAAGCTGATGGATTCTACTTGTGAGAGCTTCAATCTTAGTCTGAAGGTCGTGGTGCGAGAAGTCGATTCTCCCATTGATCTCAGATAGTCGCTTGTTGAGATCCACGTTTCCGGTAGACTGTCCCTGAAGTAGTTGCTGAAGCATCTGCTTGACTCCAGGTTCTTGGGACCTTGCTTAGCCTCGAATCCAGGTGGAACAGAGGTGTTTTTCTGATAGCCTCCTTGGAATTTTTGTTGTACCCATCACGTGGTTTAGTTGGGTACATCTTTCCTTGACCAGACGTGTTGGCTTGAGGAGGATAGACTTGGTCCTGGGGGTTCTCTACATTCGTGCTTCGATAGGACATATTGGGGTTGTTCTTGTAGTAACCCTGGCTATGAATGTAGTTGACGTCCTCAGTGTAAAACTCCTCCTCTTGATCGTCATCACGTTCCTCCAGCATGTGTACCGACTGTTTTTGCTGGACTATAAGCAGTTTGTCAAGCTTGTCGTTCAGCACCTTCAGTTCCTTCTTGTGCTTTTCCTCTGCTTCGACGGATCCTCTGTTTGTGCGGTCATGATCTTCGCCGTATGTACCATTGCTCATTGCCATGTTTTCCACCAAAAACAGACCGTCGTCGACGTCTCTGGCCAAGAAGTTGCCTTGGCTTGCTGTGTCAAGCATCTGCCTAAGCGAGGCAGTACACCACGGTATAGAGTGCTTAAGAGTGACTCTTGAGAGAAACCGTGGTGTGGGCACTTCGACTGATATCCTTTGAAGCGTTCCCAGGCGTCTGTGAAACTCTCGCCGTGCTTTTGTGCGAAGCTTGAGATGTTGGTTCTGAAGCTTGCAGTTCTGACTGAGGAGAAGAACTTAGCCAAGAAGGCTTTCTTGCACTGATCCCAGCTTGTGATGGACCCTCGAGGTATCGTCTTTTCCCATTGGCGAGCTTTGCCATCAAGTGAGAATGGGAATAAACGAAGTTTGGTTGCGTCTTCGCTTACCCCATTCTGTGTGATCAAATCACATGCTCTGTCAAACTCGTCAAGATGGTCCAACGGGTCTTCCTCAGGTAGACCGTGATAGATCTTTTGTTGGACTTGATGCAGAATGTGCGGTTTGATTTCGAAGTTGTTGTGCACATTCGGCGGGGCTATGCCTTGACGGTTTTCGTGAGTGTTAGGTGCATCGCCGGCACCTATTTGACGGTGAGGTCGCAGAGGTGGGTTGTTTCGCTGACCACCTTGTTGTTCCGGTCCGGGTGGGAATCCTTCCTGTTGGGGTTGGGCTGCCATGTCCGGAACCTCTTGTCTTCTGGTTCGCGAAGTAACTCTGCGTGACCGTTTGTTTTGCTCTGCTTTGTCAAGATCGCTTGTACTTAGGAGGTTGTCTCGTCCTTTGGATCTGGTGTGCATACACCTGAGGTCAAAGATGAGAGGTTTCACAGAAAGTTAGCGACTTTAGGCAAGATAGAGCAAAACCGACTTAATCTAAGGTTTTTCTTGAAAACGAAATGCTTAAAAGTCTCCACTTTGGCAACGGCGCCAAGTTGATAAGTAGGATTTTTGTATCAACTACTCTCAATCCATACCACTCATGTCATTGTAGTACTTGAGATGTCAATCCAAGTGGAGATTTAAACTATCGAAATAAAGAAAAGGCAAAGATCAAGTTTTGATAAAAGATTGGGTTTTGTTTTGTAAAGATCTATGCTTTAAGCTAACAAGATGAAATAAAGATTTAAACTTTAACAATAAAAGATAAAGGAGGCGTCTTGGGTGAGATTAGTTGGGATCAAACGAGCTCAACCTTCCTTTCTCAACACACCAAGACTCAAGCTTTGTGCTTAGACTTTGGGTAAATCTGCCACTCTCGTGGTCAGATCGCTTTGCAAGCTGAGAATCCAAAGCTAGCTCTCACTAGTGGACTCAAAGTTACAAGCTTTCACAAGATCTAGTCTAAAAGTGCACAAGATACATCCCAACAACCAATCTCTTAGGTTGGGAATGTTTCTCTCTATCGCTAGCTCTCTTAGGCATTAACGCAAACACCTTCTAGGTGTACTAGCCTAGATTCGCGACTTCAAGTGATCAAGAAGAAGCCGAGATATAAAGCTCTAGCTAAAGAAAAGCTGGTCAAGGGAGATTAAGGAAGAGGTTAACAGGAAGCTAAAGCTCTGACCTTTCCTAATCTCACCCTCGAAACCTCTAAAGAACTACTCGCTACTCATACTCGAACCGAAAGCAAAGAGGTAAAGAAAGCTAGAAATCATCATTAAGACAAGATTAGCAAACTAAGTACTTCTTAAACTTAAAAGATTCAAAGTAAAAGCTTACAAAAGATCTCCAAGAACAAACTGTTTTTCTTGGAGAGAAACTGGTTACAAGATAAAGATTGCCTAAAATTAGGTCTTAAAGGTTTATATAGAGAAGGGAAAAGTGTATCCTTTGGTCAACTTTTTGCTTTGACTTCACAGCAGCTCACTTCCTCAAGCACTCTGTCCTTTTGCTCAAGGCTCTGTTCCGTCTTGCTTGTTTTGCCATCCGATTACTCCGATCTCCTTCTGGTCCATCTCCGATCATCACCTCCGGTCCCTCCTTCGCCATAAGCTCCGAATACCTGATAAATGCACCCCAAATGCAATGGAAATGCAAAATGCTATCCTAAAGGCTAAATGATCCTAAGTAGACTAAAGCTACACTAAATGTTATGAAATGGACTCAATTATACACAGAACTATGCAGTATGAGAGGCTAAATGTATGCAAATGTTGAATACATCACAGACCAAAATTATCGTTGTAAACATACAATTGTAATTTGTAGTATAGTATTTTTCATAGTAGAAATCGATTTGAATTTGATGTAACTTTTTTTTTATATCGTTATGGTGTTTACTTCATTAGAAAATAGTAGTCAAAATACTGATCAAAGTTCTTTAAAGAATAGTTTTCAGTCAAGAGATGATGAATGTAACAAAACAAAATCGAAACACACATCAAAGTTGATGAATGGAACGTTTATTCTCTTCTTTTTTTGGTGGAGGTATATTTGTAGCATATTTAAATATCTTTATACTTTGATTGACATAATAGGTCGAAAGTTAGATTGTGAAAAATTATTTGGGGCTCAAAAGTATTTGATGATAAGGGTTAAAGTTGGGAGAGATTCTTCTTTCTTTGTGACAATACTTTAGCGTGTTTAAAGTAAAGAAAGGAATATGTTCTCTTGACATCGAAATTTCTCGAATGGTCACCAAAGAAATGTGGTATTTTTTGCTTTAAGCCATACTACTTTGATTCTTCATCGATCTTACACAGCTACGATAAATGATACTTTATAAAAACATATGTTGTTTTCCTTGTATAGCTTTTATCTTTAATTAGTTACTAATTTTATTTTCTTTTGTTTGTTAAAGGACAAGAAGGTAGCTTGAGAGAGATGCTTAAGCATTCAGTTAGCTTGATGGTTCATCGACCAAAATCTGATTAGCTCATTTGACATCTTTAGTACTTGGCCTCTATGATCTTTCGCGTCCATCAACAGTATATCCTCCATTGCATATTTGGACTTTTGAGTTGGTTTAATATGTGATATGTCTTCTTCCTCAAGTCGAGCCATCGTAAACAAAAGGACTACTATCAAGGACATTCGGAGATTCATATTCTTATTTGTAGTTTGTGGAGTTTTGATTGAGAAGAAAAGAGCCGAGTAAACAAATTTTGCAAGCATGTATGACAAAATAATCAACAGTTTACATTAACAAGAAAAGGATACGAGTTTTCAATTCATGTATTATATCTGTTTTTTTAAGAAAAGGAAGAAAATAGGTGTGAAAGGAATAGCGTAAATGCAGACTTGAATCAGTCTTGTTTATTTTGACTCTTTGCGCAAGCAATTAGACTATTGATGAGAGATAATCCATCCATGCATAACTCCTTTTTGTGAAAACATCCATGCATATCTCGTCATCATATAAACATTGGAATAAAATATTTTTCATCAGAGTTGATAATTAATTACTATAAACCGGTTAAAGTAGTAAATATTAACAACAAAAGGTGTATATAGAAAAAAAAATCATTTTTTTTAAAAATTTAGATGTAGTTAATAATAATTTACTAAATGGATTTATTTTCTCATGATATTTTTTAGAAATAATATTTAATTAAAAGTCCAGAATATGTAGTTATTTTAAAAGAATCATAATATATATAAATTATATATATAATAATATAATTTATTATTAATACTAAGAGTCTAAGACTATATATGACTCATATTTAGTTACCTTTTTAATACTTTGAGTGAGATTAAATCAAATCAGGAAAAAACAAATAATCCAATATATTAATAACTCTGCTTAATTCTCGCTTTGTTTGATTTTGAGGGAAAAAAGAGGGACAATTTTGACAAACAAAAAAATGAACGAAAAAGCTTCGAAGAATTTTGTATGAAGCTAATTTCTCCGTGATTTTTTCTCGTCGACTTTCGGAAAAGAAAAAAAGGTTGAAACTTTTTGGTCTCTCTGGTCAAAATTGTGGTTTGGTTGAGCGCACCGACGACAATCGCATTAAGCTTTATTTTGTCAAATTGGATCTGGCCACAATCATTTGCACCAACTCTTCCCCTTTTGTGCTGGCTCGAAACGTGTATTGATCTGGAGGCATTGTTGACGCTTTATTGAATTGGTCTCATTCAGGGGACATTGCATCGAAGTCAGCTCCAAAATTTATAACCTTTATCAGGGTTGTTGAGTTTTTGTGTTAAAGTTTCGATCTTGATCGAACATTCAAAAAAGCTGTGAAAATTCGTCTTGCTGTTATATTGGGAAATTTGATCTTAAAGCCCTGGCCTTTTGGAGTAATCTGATGAAATGAGAAGCAATAGATATGCTTGGAATGATTCGAGGAGGAATGGGTGATCATAGTTGGGCTCGTTTAGTTTTCTGGTTGATTCTGATCTCTGGGTTCTTGGTGCTCACCTTGGAAGAGAGCTCAGAAAAAGATGAGACTTTTCTTACCCAATTCGTGGCTCCATCAACAGGGAAGGTCAATGCACAAATGGTAAATATTCCAAGCTCGTTTGATTCTTTTTAACATCATAACTAACTGCCATGTCTGATGGGACTTACCTGTCAGGGTTTAAAATTGTATAAGCTAAGAAAATTCTGTAGCTCTCTAGTATACTTTTATGACGAGATTCTTGCTTAAAGTTCGGTTTTAGAGACTAAAGATTGCATAGTTTGTATTCCTTGGAGGAATGTAGATTGTATGAGAGAAGAGAATTAAGATCGTTACTAAATGTTTGTAGAGTGTCCTGCATATAGAAGAAACTCTATGGTTTTCTAATTTGTGTCAGTCATGTAATATTCAGTGAACATTTTGTTGCTGCCATAGTTTTAGGTTCATGCTCGTCAAGATCTTGTGTTTCAAGTTTGTATGGTCTGTTTGTATCAAGTTGAACGAAAGCTCCAGACTTTTAGTGTAGCTTATAATGTTGTTTGTCTCTTATCTTTTGTACAATGTTTGACAGGTAGAAACATCATCATGGGCGCAGCGATGTTGGCAAGATTCAGTTTGTGTGAAGGAAGCTGTCTCAGTATTCAATTTATGTTTTCACGGATCAAAGGATCATTTGGAGCTCTTTGGTTTGAAGCATTCCCATGTGAAGCAGACTCTTCTTGATTGTATCCAAGAACAAGGGAAGTTGAATGGTCATAACCTCAAGTCTCTCGAGCTCTTGTCGTCTATGATTGATACTCAGAGGAGAATTCTAGCTTCTAGACCTGTCACAACTCTTTCTCCTTCCCCTTCCCCTTCCCGTCCTCCTCCTAAGCGCAGTCGGCGCCCACCTGCTCGTAAACGATCCCCACCTCCTCCGCGGAATTCGTCTTTTCCACCGTCAAGATCTCCACCTCCTCGTCCTCCTCCTAAGAAAAAAGGTTCTAAAAACTCAACTTCAGCTGCGAAGAAGAAGAAAGAGGAACATGAGAAAACAATCATCATGGCGGTTGTTGCGACTGCAGTTTCTACGTTTCTGCTGGCTGCATTGTTCTTCTTGTGTTGCACCAGGTGTTGTGGAAGAGGTTCAGGAGGCCGGAAAAACGATGAGCGGCCTCTTCTCAGTTTAAGCAGTAGTGATTACTCTGTTGGTAATAACATCTCCACTTTCTCATAATACTAATCTAACAGGAAGTTTCTTAAAGCCTCCACTTTTCTCTCTTCAGGTTCCTCCATCAACTATGGTGGTTCTGTCAAAGGAGGAAAGGTGGACCATCAATCTTATAACATTTACTCAAACCAAGGAAGAATGTCGTCTTTCGATGGAAGTAACTCTGACAATTCGGATTCGTTAGAGGAAACACACGAAGGAATGCATAATAATACTATTAGCAGTCATGGGATTCCGCCATTGAAGCCTCCACCTGGAAGAACAGCTTCTAAACTTTCAGGGAGGCCTCCTTCTGGTAAAGTGGAGCCTCTTCCAATGGAACCACCCAAATTTCTTAAGGTGTCTTCAAAGAAAGGTGCTGCTCCTCCACCACCAGTTCCAGTTCCAGCTCCAGCTCCAGCACCAGCACCGCCAATGCCATCTTCTGCTGGTCCTCCACGGCCACCTCCTCCAGCTCCTCCTGGCTCTGGTGGGCCCAGGCCACCACCTCCTCCTGGACTAAAAGGACCACGTCCTCCTGGACCACCTCCACCAATGAGCCGGGGTCCGAAAGCTCCCCAGCCGTCTTCTGGTCCAGCAGATCCATCAGATGATGATGCTCCCAAAACAAAGCTGAAGCCGTTTTTCTGGGATAAAGTGCAAGCAAACCCAGAACATTCAATGGTTTGGAATGATATAAGATCAGGATCTTTCCAGTAAGTCACAGCTTTGGAGTTGTTAGCACTTTTTTTCCTTCTTAAAAATGTATGACTTTGGTACTGTTGCTGAATGAAACTTACTTTTTGATGCTTTTTCAGGTTCAATGAAGAGATGATAGAGTCGTTATTTGGATATGCAAATGCAGACAAGAATAAAAACGAGAAGAAGGGATCCTCTGGACAAGCTGCTTTACCTCAGTTTGTTCAGATTCTTGAACCAAAGAAAGGACAAAATCTATCGATTCTCTTGCGTGCTTTGAATGCCACAACTGAAGAAGTGTGTGATGCACTTCGTGAAGGTAAACCTTCTCTTTCTTCTTTTTTTTTTCCAATGAGGAATAGATTGAATTTAAGTTCATGCAACATTCTCCAATGTGTTCTCTAACATAATCGTTCTTGGGATCAGGGAATGAGCTGCCTGTAGAATTCATTCAGACTCTGTTAAAGATGGCACCAACACCGGAAGAAGAACTAAAGCTTAGGTTATACTGTGGTGAAATAGCTCAACTGGGATCAGCTGAACGATTCCTGAAAGCAGTAGTTGATATCCCTTTCGCTTTCAAGCGTCTAGAGGCACTTCTATTCATGTGTACACTCCATGAAGAAATGGCCTTTGTCAAAGAATCGTTTCAGACATTAGAGGTACATTTCCTTCTTTCACAAAAACTATGTTCTGAAAAAAGTCTCTTGCTTTTAAGCTTTCTCTTGCTTCTTCTCTGATCTAAATGCATCTACTTTGGTGTACATGGAAGGTTGCTTGTCAAGAACTTAGAGGAAGTCGGCTGTTCCTGAAGCTCCTAGAGGCAGTTCTCAAGACCGGAAACCGAATGAATGATGGCACATTTAGGGGTGGTGCTCAAGCTTTCAAGCTGGACACTCTTTTGAAACTAGCAGACGTGAAGGGAACTGATGGGAAGACAACTCTCCTCCATTTCGTTGTTCAAGAGATAATTAGAACCGAAGGTATGAGAGCTGCACGTACTATCAGAGAGAGCCAAAGCTTCTCAAGCGTCAAAACAGAGGATCTAATGGCGGAGGAAACCACTGAAGAGATGGAAGAGAATTACCGAAACCTCGGACTTACAAAAGTTTCAGGCTTGGGCAGTGAGCTAGAACATGTGAGGAAATCTGCAAACATAGATGCTGATAGTTTAACAGGGACGGTTCTTAAAATGGGCCACTCCTTGTCGAAAGCTCGAGACTTTGTGAACTCGGAGATGAAGAGTTCAGGGGAGGAGAGTGGGTTCCGTGAAGCCCTTGAAGATTTCATTCAAAACGCTGAAGGAAGCATCATGTCGATTCTCGGTGAAGAGAAGAGGATAATGGCGCTGGTGAAGAGTACAGGTGACTATTTCCATGGGAAAGCAGGGAAAGACGAAGGCTTGCGTCTGTTTGTGATCGTGCGAGATTTCTTGATAATCTTAGATAAGTCTTGCAAAGAAGTCAGAGAGGCAAGAGGAAGACCCGTGAGGATGGCTAGAAAACAAGGCTCAACGGCCTCAGCAGCCTCAGCTTCCTCTGAAACTCCAAGACAGACGCCTTCGTTAGATCCTAGACAGAAGCTGTTTCCAGCTATTACAGAGCGACGTGTGGATCAGTCTAGTTCAGATTCAGACTAAGGAAGTAACACAATCTTGGGGTTTCGTAACCTGTTTAGGACATAAATCTTCTGATGATAAATTTTTTTTCTGGTGAGAGTGGAATGGCGATTTCTCGCTGAGAATGTCACAAAGGAGCTGAGGTTAAAGCTAAGGAGTGGCTCACACTCTTCACCTTTAGTTTTAGAAAACACATTTTTCATTATCTTGTTGCCCATAGAAGTGTACCTTTGTGTTTATCTGTGTAACATTATTACTATCAATATACTTTATAACATTCATTTTTCAACAAAACTTTCAAATCCAAAAGTACTGGTGATTCAGATTGTAAAAAGAGGCTCTTTCATCTCATTGATTTGTAGATAAACACAGAAGCAGCTTTGAAAGAACATTCTGATTTTGTAAAATACTTTCATATATTCACACAAACTGAAACAAAGATGTCCAAACTAACAAAGCCCTGAGCAATTGAAAGGCAAAACAGAACAAAATGGTTACTAGCTATAGTAGTTATTAGTTTATTTGATCTGAAGAGAGAGACGTGTTCTGTAATTTTGTGTTAAGAGACCTAATCTTCTTGAGGCTTTGAAGGTCCAGCCTTCTTGGGGAGAAGGAGATTGTGGATGTTAGGCATCACTCCTCCATTGGCAATAGTCACATCTCCAAGGAGCTTGCTTAGCTCCTCATCGTTTCTCACTGCAAGCTGGATGTGACGAGGAACGATACGTGTCTTCTTGTTGTCTCTTGCTGCATTTCCAGCGAGTTCAAGAACCTACAGAGAGAGATTTAATAAACAGGTTTCAGTCTCAACCGAGACAGAGTTGAACATTTCCAAATGATTAGATTCTCACTCAAATCTGGAAATGTTATCTGTGATGATAAGAACAAACTTTCCAAATTGAGATACTTCAACAAATTAATTTAGTTTCCAAATACAGAAAGTCGAAAACTTTAATTGATTCAGAGGACAATTTCAGTATCAACAATACCAAATATTACAGAAGGAGCCTGTGAATTCAATTCGATAATCAACAATCCAAAAACTACAAAAAATTGCACAATTAAGAACTCTGATAAATCAATTCAAACACCGATTTAAACGAATTGAGAAAAAAACGAAAAAAAAAATCCAAGTCACTAGTTACGATCTAATTACATGGTGAGTGAAATTCCCAAAATTTGCATGCCATTCGAAAAAAAATATAAGAACCCTAGATTGATCATAGGTCGCAATAGCCTCAGATCACGCAAAAACAGAGAGATTGGACTAATCAATTAGGCAACGGAATGAGAAAGAGAGAGAGAGAAGATATATTCACCTCGGCGGCGAGATATTCTAGGACGGCGGCGAGGTAAACCGGAGCACCAGCTCCAACACGTTCAGCGTATTTACCGGCTTTGAGGAATCGAGCGATACGACCGACCGGGAATTGAAGACCAGCCTTGCTGCTCCGAGATGTGGCTTTCTTCGCCCCACCGGATCCAAGAGTTTTTCCGCGACCCGCCATTTCTCAACAACCAAGGAGCTTCTTTTCTACCGAAAATTTCTGCAAAAAGGAACGAAAATCGAAAACTGTATTGACGAAGCACCAAATGGAGAAGATAACGAAACTCGTGAGTTTATATATATTTACGATGGAGAATAAGTTAAGTTACTGACCAATAAGAATACAGTACGCAGATCGAAGAATGTAAACCGTCGATTGTAGACAAATGAAAGGCTGAGATTTTAAGTTTTTGCTCCCACCGCTTGACTGTGCGAGGGAATTTCCAAAAAAAAAAGGCAAAATCAAATATGGGCCTTTAAAGTGATTTTAAACTTATCTTAAAGCCCACGGAACTATTGTGATGTTTGAAACTTTATTATCAAAAAACATTTAAAGAAAAAAAAAGAATTTGCATGTTCTATTCTGGCAACATTGATTGATCCAAGTAATAAGATTGGGGCAGACCAAGTCAATGTGGTGTGGTCGAAATGATGGTCCTGTTGGATTGGGATTTAGGGCAAAACTGGGAAACCCAGACAGGACATAACTATCAATATGCTTTCAAAATTCAATTTCTAATTTAATGTCCTCCCTTTCAATTCAATAAGCCTACAACGACACCCACACCTACCTTTCAATATATCTACCATCTTGCGTTATCTACAAACAATATTAAATGCACTTTCATCCTTCAGATTTAAGTTATTATGTTATGTTCCTTAACAAACCTGTTATTGTCAATCCTCTAAGTTTGAAAACCTTATGATGTAGAGAGAGAGAGAGTTATAAATTCTGTTTATTAATTAGAATGATCAAGATATGTAGTGTATTAAGAAAGAGTATAGTATAAATGTATAAATACAAAAAAGAAGTTATATTCTTATAATATACTGTAATGTACAGTACATTGAAATGAATACTATCATCCAAGAATTGTCAGAATGCTTCATTTGCTCATCTGGTCTTTTAATGACTGAATTGACAGGTGCTAGCGGAAAGAATTGAGCTGAAAATCGATGTTCCTTTTCAATTTATTTCAAAATTAAATTTCCATAGCCATTGATTAGTAACTATCGTTTGGTTGTCACTTGTTACTGAACAACAATTTGTCATCATTACATAGATTTAACCTATATATGAACATAGTGAGTGACTACATAGTTTTATCCCGACTAAGTTTCAGCCATTATACTTCATATAGAATCAACTCTCCAATATTCATTTGTTTATTTTGTAGTACTTTTTTTTTTTGGTTTTCCTACTTGACGACTAAACTAATCGTGTTATAATCTGTTAAATCCTGGAAATCATTAATTATTCAATGTGAATAACTGAAGTCTGAAGATAAACTTATTAGGCCGGTGAACCTGCCCACACACAATCTCATTGATTGACGTCCTTATTAGTTACTGTATGTAATTAAATTTTGGAAGTGTGTGATAAGAACTCAAGATTCTCTACACGGAACTATGGAAACAAAGATCGTGGATGTATCTTTTTGGAACCAAAACAAAATTATTGCGAGTTACTTACGATTTTTGGTTTAAGATTAAAAGAGAGGCTATGAATAATACTCCTTGATTGTTATAGTTAATGCAAGTTCATGAAATTTATCATTTTAAAATGTATGTAAAAAATATTGTATACAGTACTTCAATCCTTCATGATCATGATCCTGAATTTCTGATCCATGAACGTGTGAAGTCTTTTTTACACTCATAGTTATAGATTCGCAATACAGTAAATGAAGGGACATTCTCTCGTGTTATTACATCGGTGAGTTGAGACATTATAGACCTCTTTTTGTTTCAAATGAACGTACATGCCTAATAAAACTAAAATGTATTTTTGTTTTATTACGTCTCCTTTTTTATATATATCTCATTTAATGTAAAATCAACTGTATCTTCATAAGACAAAAATAAAAGAAGAAAAATCAAATTCACTTGCCTATTTTCCTTCTTCTTCTTCCTTTTTCTAAAAATTACAAAAATCCCTCCCAATAAAATCCCAAAAATCTCAGAAGAAGATAGAGAGAGAGAGAGAGAGAAAGTGAGATTACATCAACAATGGACGATTCAAGCACAAGAAGCCAAAAGAAGAAGAAGAAGCTTCAAAGAGACAACAACAACAACAGCAAAACCATTAATCCAAAGAACAAGAACAACATCCCAACTGTTTGGTTCTCGCTCAAGAAATCTCTCCACTGTAAATCCGAACCATCCGATGTCCACGACCCCAAATCCACAAAACACCTCTCCTCAATCTCCACCAAGAGAATCTCCGGCGGTGTCAACGCCGGCATCGCCGCCGGAGTAGGATGCGGCGGTGGCTTATCCGGATGTTCAAGATCGATAGCGAATCTCAAAGACGTAATCCACGGAAGCAAACGGCATTTCGAGAAGCCGCCGATAAGTAGTCCTCGTTCTATCGGAAGCAACGAGTTTCTCAATCCCATAACTCACGAAGTTATCCTCAGTAACTCGACTTGCGAGCTCAAGATCACCGGCGTCGGAGACATGACTTCACCGCTCGGAGCAGCGGAATCCGGCAGTGGCGGAGGAGGAAACGGAAACGGTCGTTCCACCACGTTTGTGGGGATGTTGAGGCCAGGAACGCCGATGCATTATCTAAATCACTCGGCTTCTTACCGGAGCCAAGCGTCGTCGACGCCGCCGGGAAGAAAGGGCTCGTTTAATTCGTCGGAGAGAGACGGAAGAGGAGGAGGAGGAGAAACGTTAGGGTTTCACACAAACCGGAGAGTTTCTCTGGAGATGAACAGAGATTCAGCTACTAATGGTGGCAATTCCTCTGTTTCTTGCCATAAATGTGGTGAACAGTTTAATAAACTCGAAGCTGCAGAAGCTCATCATCTCTCCAAACACGCCGGTAAACAATTCAAATCTCCCAAATTTTTAGTTTCGCCATTGAAATTATGCAATTCGAGTTTCTGGAAAAACATAAAGTTTTCAACTTTTGGGACAGAAATTCCCAAAATTTCGAATTTTAATGCAATTAGGTTGCAAAGATCTGAACTTTATCAAAAAGTTGAATTTTTCACTATTGAAATGATGCGATTAGTGTTTTAGAGCGAAAAAGTGTTCAAATTTAGCAATTCGGATTTTGAATTATGTAAGTTTAGGTTTTAAAGTTTTCAACTTTATGAAAATTGCAGTGACGGAGCTAGTGGAAGGCGATTCGTCGAGAAAGATCGTGGAGATAATCTGCAGAACGAGCTGGTTAAAGTCAGAGAACCAATGCGGAAGAATCGACCGGGTCTTGAAAGTGCACAACATGCAGAAAACGCTGGCTCGGTTCGAGGAATACAGAGAGACGGTGAAGATCAGAGCGAGCAAGCTCTCGAAGAAGCACCCGAGATGTCTCGCCGACGGGAACGAGCTTCTCAGGTTCCACGGAACAACAGTCGCTTGCGGTTTAGGGATAAACGGGTCGACGAGTCTCTGCACGGCGGAAAAATGCTGCGTCTGCCGGATTATACGGAACGGGTTCTCGGCGAAACGGGAGAAGAACAACGGGATTGGGGTTTTCACGGCGTCGACGAGCGGGAGAGCGTTTGAGTCGATATTGGTCAACGGGGATGTTGATCGGACGGTGAGGAAAGTGTTGATTGTGTGTAGGGTGATCGCCGGGAGAGTGCATCGGCCGGTGGAGAATGTGGAGGAGATGAATGGGTTGATGAGTGGGTTTGATTCATTGGCCGGGAAAGTTGGGTTGTATACAAATGTGGAGGAGCTTTATTTGCTTAATCCTAGAGCTTTGCTTCCTTGCTTTGTGGTAATATGCAGATCCTAGAAAAAAATTAGCAATTTTTGTTTCCGGAACTATTATTTGTTCATAATTTTGTGTACCGTATAATGAGAATTGAAATCAAAAGAATTTGGAATCTAGAATCATTTATTGCCTTTTTACCATTTTTGTTTTGAATCTAAAATTTAATAATTGTACTTGATCGGGTAATGTATTAAGATTTGCTGTAGATTTTTCATTTTTGTTTTAGCCTACAATTTCATTTTCAACTTAAACATTCTTCACTAAAAGAAATTATATTTTACTTGTCAATGGCTTCACAAGGTTTGCCAATAAGAATCTCCATCTCTTTAACTGTGTGTGCAAGGTGAATTTTGGGATTCAACTTTGATTCTTTTTCTTCTGCCAAGTTTTCAGTGTTGTGTTATTTTCTAATCTATCTTACCTAGACAGACAAAAAAAAAGAAGATATTTTTGTTGTTCATGTTATGTTTTCGATCAAATTTGTATTTTAGCGTAAATGTGAGAATCAATAGATGTCAAGTGTGTCAGAGTGGGAATTTAGTTTCACGGGTGGCCTGTTGGTATAACTGCTAAATAAAAGTTCATTCAGTAGTAAAAAGTTTAACAATGGAACTTTTGTTTCGACGACGAGAAAACTTATTCAAAAATTTGGAATATGAATTTTTCATGTTTGGTTGAATGTTCAATATGGAACACTAACGTTATTTTAGTGTTTTGATATTTTTAGCTTCTTACCTTACATATAATCTGTAATAGAAAGTACAATAATATATTCATATATACAATTTACAAGCTACTTTATAGAATGATAATTCTTAGAACAGGAATTTGATATAGTACATTAACCAATTCATATACTCATTTTCGTTTTCTTTTGGAATTATCCCCTTTCAGTTCAGTCCTAGATTACGTACAACATTGTTTTAATGAAAAGACATGGGAAGTAAGAACAAAAAACAACGTTAATGATAATTACGCATTTTGTTAAAACGAATAAAAATGGTCCATGGACAAAGCTTACGTCAAAGGTTACGACAAAATTCTATCCCATGCAAACAAATTAGTTTGGAGCTTTTAATATCTCTATCTGCAAAAGCCACCCACTCATCAATATCCGCTGAGAGAACAACAAATCTGAATCTGTGAGGTGTGAGCCCAGCAATAACCCAAAGTTCAAATCTTGAAATTTCGAATTTAAAAAGAAATGAAATATACAGTATAGATCGACTAGTCGATTAGTTATAAAACATTAGGGCATGCAAACTATTTCTGACATCTATATATACGTTTTGAACTTTGATCCATTATCAGTTAACTCTGTTATTGTAGTTGTTTTACTCTATAATCTTTTGGGTTAATCATTACATAGTAACAACTACTATATTAATTAACACAAATTTTGTAAAGTATGTATATAATATATTGGAATGAATCACAACAAGGCCTGATATTGACAGTGTATCAATTTCAACCAAAGTAACGGTGGGATCACATACCACATGACGTCTCGAAGACAATTGTATCTGCACATACCTTTTTTTAATTCTGCACTCGACAACAATCTATATATATCGTCATTTTCGGATCTTTTATATAATGAAAAACTTAATCCTATCTATTACGACGTTCGAAATATGTGAAATATCCAATGTAATAACTAACTATGGACGTATGGTATTTGATGTAATGTTTTAGTTATTCTTTGAGATATTTTTCACGTCACGTATGCCAATGACTCGGAATAAGTAAGTAAATTAAAAAAAAAACGAACGAGCACTAGTTTACTCAACATCGCGTGCATATGATATGCCTTGGATATGTTTGTCAATAATAATGTATCACCACTTCTTGGTTGGGGATGAGAAAATTATCATCTTATAAGCAACATCAAGATTTGACCAATTTAATTGATGATCAATATGTCCTTAGAAATAATTTTCTTTCTTTGTAAGTATGGTTTAAAGGTAGCTGTGGCCTGTGGGCAAACAGAAAGCGTTGATGCTTACATGTTTTATTCACAAGGATGCATGTGTTTCTTTTTAAAAAAAAACGTCAAGAATTTTAATTTCATACACCTTCCATGAGGTTTCATCTACTAAAAAAACCAGATATGATAGTACAAGCTTGTGATGATTCTAAAGGCATGGTATATATATTATGATGGAGCGAAAGTTACCAAGGCACGGATCCGTTAAATTCATAGAAAACTTAACAATAGAACCTTCTTCGAATTCAAGGACCGCAAGAAAAAATTATTTTACCTTTTGGCCACACCTCTCCATGAAGCTTTCGTATACAGGGAAGACAGATTTGGCGATGGAACTGATGGTTTCAAAGCCATCTTTTGCCAACAAAAGTAAACACATCCGGGTTAAGTCCTTTTCATCTCGCTGTCTAGGACCATCAGAACCACCAAGTTCAGTTAGCAACGTTTGATCCTGATCTTGTTCGTGTTGCTGGAAGAAAAGGTAGAATTTCGCATAGTCCTTCAAATTTTAAACCATCACACCATTAAATGAGTCCAAATATTTCATAATGTCACATATCAGTAGTCCCATTATATTAGTTTGTACAAATCGTATCCCAAACAAACAAAAAAGCTTATTTGTTATCCGCATACTTGGAGCTTCGAAACCAGTTACGGAAATGACCCTAGACTAGACGAGAACTCATCACTTATGTATGTGTCAACCGACAATTATGGCGGCTTTGTTCGGTAATTGATAAGCCGCCTTTGTGTGTGTGTGTGTGTGTGTGTTCTTTTTTTTTTTTTTTTTTTTTTACTGAAACAGCCAAACAGGCCTTTGTTTTCCTTTTTGTAGCCGCCTTTTTTGTTTCTTTCTTGTTTCTACGCCACTGACCAATTTAATTGGTGATGATCAAGTCAATAGACTCACTCAACACATAAGAAAATAAAAATATAATAATATAACGAAAAAACTTGGAATCGTTTCTTCTTGGATTAATCCTTTACAAATAAATGTATTTTAAGCTTAAAAGACTTTTGACAGTCTTATAGGTCAATTACTCTATTTCCACTGATTCATACATTAGGTGAGAAGCCGCCTTTGGGTTCTTTTCTTTTTCTTCTTTTAGAAACCGGCCTGTGTTTTTCTTTCTAGTTTCCACGTAAAACCGCAACAAACCAAATTTAACTGGTGATGGTTTTAATACTCGTTAAATGAAAAGAAAAACTATATAAATAAGAGTGCTTGGACTCGTGTTTTAATCGTTTCAAATATCTCTCTTTTATTATTTGTAAGTATGGAACTAAAATTGCTTCTGGTTACTCAATCCGGTAGCGTTGATGCGTTGTATTCTCTTATTAAAGAGGATCCATGCATTCTTCAGAAAATCGATGATTTACCTTTCATCCACACACCACTCCATGAAGCTTCATCTACCGGGAAGATGATTTGGCAATGGAACTAATGGTCCTAAAACCATCTTTTGCCAAGAAACTAAACGAGGATGGGTTTAGTCCGTTACATCTTGCTGTCGAGAACAAGCAAGCTGAGTTAGCACTAGAGCTAGTCAAGTTTGATCCTAGTCTTGTTCGTATTCGTGGAAGAGGAGGTAGGTTTTACACTTTTACTTCAATAGTTTAATCCTTATTTGTTCTCCGAATATGTTTGATATTGTAAGTTTTCAACAAATATATAACATCCAGTTACTTGACTATAGATTTTTGTTTTCTTTTTTTTTATTTTGTTCATAACGACAGGTATGACAGCATTGCATCTTGTGGCAAAGGAAGGTGACGTCGATCTTCTCACAGAGTTTCTTCAAGCATGTCCTGAGAGCATTAGAGATGCGAATGCAAATGGAGAAACTGCTTTACACATAGCAGTCATGAACAAAAAATATGAAGAGCTCCAAGTCCTCACTGGGTGGATGCAAAGAAGGCGCAAAAGTGATGATGGCTACAATGAGGATCACGTCATGAACAAACGTGACCGTAAAGGCAACACGGCCTTGCACCTAGCGGCGTACGAGAATGATCACAAGGTATATAAAAGTAGCACAAATTATTTGTGACAACACTTCCTTAAGTAAATTCAACATTATGTTTGGGTTTTCCTTTCCAGTCTAGGGTTTAGACTTCCTTCATTGGAAAAGGGTTTGAGTCATTTTGATATTAAATTTCTGTTGTTATTGGAAAATCAAGTTAGTGATGTTACTTTTGAAACAAAAACTACAAAATATGCTATTTTTGGAGAGTTTCCCTTAGTAATATTCATAACATCTGTGAATGAAACTCCTTCAAATGTTAGACTCTCGTCTTCTTATAACTATATATGATAGATAGATAGATATATCTTTTCTAATAAATGGTTGTTGTGAACATTTATACGTACAGGCAGTCAAACAGCTGTTGAAATGCATGTCTTTGAACCGAAACATCAAGAACAAAATAGGTATGACAGCCCTTGATGCCTTACGAGCCAGTGGCTCTCACAACATGAACAAAGCTACTGAGAAAATCATAATAAGCAGGTGGGTAAGACTGGTGAATCTCTATCCGAAAGCGAGAAATGTCTGTCTTCTTGAGAAAACCGGTCACTTTCCGGGAGTATTGCTCAACGGGTATGGCACGTTACAGGAGCCGCATGTCAGACGGAGCAAGAAACTCTCTTCTAGTGATAACAGCTCTGATCATCACAGCTACTTATCAGACAGCATCACAACCTGTAGACAAAGCGAAAACAACTAGATTTCGGATTTCATATCAGAGATTGTGTTACTATGGGGATTCAACACTACAGCGTTTCTATTGTCCATTGCCTTGACGTTTATACTCTTACCAGTTGGTAGAGCATACACTTGGTGGTATATCTTCATCACGGTGCCTCTCGTATGCTCTTACGTGATTTCCGTGTACAAAAAGTATTCTCCATCAATATTCTTCTACATGTATGTGATCGTTGCATTGGGATTTCTCATATACATGCTTGTGTTCTACGTGAGGTGGAAGCGTACCACACAGAAGAAAGCACCAAATCCCAAAACCGAGCTGGTTTCTGAAGGCTCCAAGAGGACCATGGTTTAGCCACATCTCAAGCGTTTGTACTTTTGTTTCCTGTAAAACTTGTGTGTTTCATAGGTTAAGGATTTTATCTTTTTGAATAACTAACCTCTTTAAGGTTCAACGTAAGCTTTAAGTAAGGAGGAATAAGAAGTGGTTGTTTGGTAGAAATTTTGTTTTAAAGGTTGGTTTGGATTGCTCAATCAAATAACACTGATTCTTATATGCTTTTAACCACAAGGTTGCATATATTCTTAAGAGACAGGTCGACATTTTACGTTTCATACACCCCATCATAAGAACGCTATTTATGACACAGTATAGCTTCTACGGTTTTACAGACCTTTTTCTACCCATTATCTTTTCTTGATCAAGTTAACAAATTATATTCTGAAACAAATAATATAAAGTTACTTGATGAGATATTTTTTAGCTGTTGTCTAAATTATCTCATGAGGACAGGTATGACACCTTAGCATCTAGTGGCGAAAAAGGTGACGCTGGCCTTCAGCTTCTTAAGAGTTTCTCCTTGTATGTCGTGAAAAACTCTGTAAAAACCGGCTTAGAAGACAATTCATGAATGTGCCAAGAGATTTAAGAATTAAGAAGATAGAGAAGAAAACCTAGTAATGTAGATCTAATTCTCTAATATAACTTTGAAGAAAACTGAGCTCAAACTATGAAGCACCTGATGTAACAATGACTTTTCATTAAATTTAATTTTAGGATTTTATGTATATATTGATTAAAAAGTTTTTCTTACGTTTGGCTGCCACCAATAGATGTTTTTTTTTTGTCGATCAACCAATAGATGTTTTCAAGAACAAATCTTTTATATTGTTATGATTTGTTTCTGGTTTGCAATCATTATTAGAGAATTGAGTTGATGGCAATCACATAAATACCAGCTCAACATATTTCACGAGAGAGTTTTTATTTGTATGACAGATTCCATGAAATATTATACCGCCGGTCTATACACGTTGTTTACCTCTTTTTTTTTGGTGATCGAACGAGGATTTTTTTGTGTGAAATAATTGTGTAGAGGACATTGTTTTGTGGTGTGTGTTTGACTGTTTTCAGTGTCCAAGAAAAGCAGATTTTTGTCTAATATCCGAATTTGGCCGAGAAACCAAATTCTGAATTCACGATTATCAAGAAACACCAAACGCGAAATCCAGAGTTTGCAAAATCGAAAGGCACCAAAGCTATATTATATGTTCTGATCCTGGGTTTGAAGGATATACGGTTTTAGCCTAAAACCTTCTAGTACTATATTTATGGCGAACTCATAGTTTTAGGTAATAGAACTAAACGCAAGTGAACCGGCGTTACAAAATGCCAGCATATATCACAATTGTATTTTCTGTCACGAAAAGCTTTGAACTGTCAAACTTTAAAAAACTTGTGTTTCGATATTTCACTCCACAAATAAATGAGTATTCTTGATTTGTGAGTGCATTAGGTTAAAGATATATATTAATGAATAATGATAACGATCGAAAACAACTTTAGTGAAGGACCTTAACCATGGTTAAATAGTCTCTTAGTGGTCATGATTGTATGGTCTTGTAGACATATGTCTAAGGAATTGACACCTCTGTCTCCGCGTTCCTGTCCGGTTTCCTCCTTGTCGAGCTTCACAGAGTCTTTAAGTTAAAACCACCATCATTAAAATAACTCAAAAGATTCTCATAACGTCACATATCAGTAGTCCCATTAGTTTGTGGACTTAAATCGTGTCTAAAACAAACAACAAATAAACTTATGTTATCCGCATCCTTGGAGTTTTGTACCACCAGCTGGTGTGAGACCGACAGTTCATGAAAAATACCCTAGACGACAACTCATAATTAATGTACGTGCATGGCCTTATCTTGAACGTCGTCGTTTCTGTGGAATATTGGGTCTAACTCGTTAAGTCTCGCCTTTTTGGTTTTATTTCTAGTTTCCACGCATAATCGCGACTGACTTATATAACTGGTGATGATTAAGTCAATAGACTCAATACTCAGAATTATAGATATTAAAAAACAAAAAGCTAATGTAACGAAAATGTTTGGATCGTTACGTTTCTTCTTAGATTGGTCCCTACAAAGAACTTTCTCCAAGTTTAAAATATTTTGAACAGTCTTAAGTCTATTATTTTGTTTCTACTAATTCACTGATACTACCTTAGGTGAGAAGCCACCTTTTGTTATTTTTGTTTCTATATAAACGAGAGTGCTTGGACTCGATCTCTTCATAAACTGGTCATTACACATATCTCTCTTTCTTTCTTTCTAAGTATGGAATCAAAATTTCTTTTGGTTACCCAATCCGGTAGCGTTGATGCTTTGTATTCTCTTATTAAAGAGGATCAGAGCATCATTCAGAAAGTCGACGATTGTCTTTTCATCCACACACCTCTCCATGAAGCATCATCTACTGGGAAGATGGATTTGGCAATGGAACTAATGGTTCTAAAACCATCTTTTGCCAAGAAACTAAACGAGGACGGGCTTAGTCCCTTGCATCTCGCTGTCGAGAACCAGCAAGGTGAGTTAGCATCAGAGCTAGTCAAGTTTGATCCTAGTCTTGTTCGTGTTCGTGGAAGAGGAGGTACGTATTTACTTCAATATCTTAATTCTTATGTGTTCTCCGAATATGTTAACAAAAATATATAGAGAAATTTTCAAAACTACAGATTATTTATTTAATATCCAGTTACTTGGTGATAGATTTATTTAATTATTTATTTTGTTCATAACGACAGGTATGACAGCATTGCATCTTGTGGTAAAGAAAGGTGACGTGGATCTTCTCACAGAGTTTCTTAGAGCATGTCCTCAGAGCATAAGAGATGCGAATGTAAATGGAGAAACTGCTTTACACGTGGCAGTCATGAACAAAAAATATGAAGAGCTCCAAGTCCTCACAGGGTGGATGCAAAGAGGGCGCAAAAGTGAAGATGGCTGCACTGAGAATCACGTCCTGAACAAACGCGACCGTAATGGCAACACGGCCTTGCACCTAGCTGCGTACGAGAATGATCACAAGGTTTGTTCTTTTTCTGTTTTGAACTGAGAAATTAATGTGTCTGATATCACACACACTCAACTTTGTTCCTAAGTGTTTAAGTGATGAGAAAATCTATTATATAGCATGGAAATTTTATTTAATTCCTTTCATATATCATCACTAGTTTTTGTTTTCCTCTCATACCATTTTATAAGGATTTATAATTTAAATATTTGGATTTGGCTTTAGAATTTAGGGTTTAGAGTTTAATATTTAAGGTTTAAGGTCTAGTTTTGAAAGTTTGAGGTTGGTTTTGATGGTTTAGGGTTTAGTGATGGTTTAAAGTTAAATAGTATGAAATGGGGAGGGGGGAAGTAATGATGGTATGAAAGGAATTAAAAAACATATTGATGGTAGATGTGAGAATTGTCCGTGAATGATTTAGTCGTAATCATTTTTAAACTCAACAAATTTAATAACGATTTTAGCATATTTCATATGTGATAGTTATAAATCATCCCAAACGGATCGGATAACTATTTGAACGGGTTCGAAAATGGGCCAGAAAACAATATTAATCCTGAATTTTGTAGACATAGTTCTTGGTACTTTTCATGTTGAGGTAACGCTAGTATAACGATATTCCTTTAAATTTCACACTCTCATCTTCTATGGAATTGTGAAACATTTATGTATACACAGGGAGTAAAAAAGCTGTTGAAATGCATGTCTCTGAACCGAAACATCAAGAACAAAAGTGGTATGACAGCCCTTGATGCCTTACGAGCCAATGGCTCTCACAAGATGAACAAAGCTACTGAGAAACTCATAAAAATATCAGGTGGCAAGACTGGTGAATCTCTATCTAAAGTCGAGAAAATGTCTGTCTTCTTGAGAAAACCGGTCACTTTCCGGGAGTATTGCTCAACTGGCATCGCACGATACAGGAGCCGCATGTCAGACGGAGCAAGAAACTCTCTTCTAGTGATAACAGCTCTGATCATCACAGCGACATATCAGACAGCAGCACAACCCTTAGACAAAGAAAAACAAGATATGTTAGAATGGAACGAAGTCATATCTGAGGTTGTGTGTCTATGGGGGTTCAACACTACATCATTTTTCTTGTCTATTATCTTGACGTTTATACTCTTGCCAGCTGGTAAAGCATACACTTGGTGGTATTTCTTCATAGCGGGGCCTCTCGTATGTTCTTATTGGACTTCGACGTACATGAAGTATTCTCCCTCAATATTCTTCGACATGTATAGGCTTGTTATATTGGGATTTCTCATATATCTAATCGTGTTCTACGTGAGGTGGAAATGTATCAGACAGAAGAAAGTACTAAAACCCAAGACCGAGCTGATTTCCGAAAGAAACAAGACTATGGTTTAACCACTTTCCAAGCGTTTGTGCTTTTGTTTCCTCTGTATTTCCCAAAGCTTTAAATTTGTATCTTTAAAAATTGTATGTTTTTGAATAAGTGACCTGTTCAAGGCTCGATGTAAGCTTTACTTAAGGAAGAATCGGAAAGTGTTTGTTTGGTAGAAAGTTTTATACTTGACCTTAAAAGGGATTCAATACATCCATCAAATTAAATACATATATAGATACGTCTCTAAGAGTTTATAAATCAAAAAGTGCAATGAAGAAGAAAAAAGCGGAGATTCTAAGATGAGGAGGTAACTGCAACTTGTGTTGTTTCTTTATCTTTGGCCTCCTTAAGTTGCTTCCATTTCTCAATGGTGTCTATAAAGACATCAAACTATATATGTAACGACCGGGTTTCTATTTATGGGCCAGCTTTTTTTTTAATTGATTTGAAACGCCCAAGAGGCCTAAGACCCCTTTTCTTTTCTCGAGCGTGAGCTTATCAAAGGAGATGCTTCTCCTTCCTCCTCGAGAACCCTAGCGCCGACCTGCAAGAGAGAGAGAGAGAGAGAGAGAGAGAGAGAGAGAGAGAGAGAGAGAGAGAGAGAGAGAGAGGAATGATCACGAACGAGAGAGGACGTAGCGGAGGAACCGAGAGTGAATGATCACGAACTCCACCGCCAGATCTCGCCACCACCGCCGATCTGACGCGGCGAGGTGGATCCGGAGGTGGAAACGGAAGTGTGTGTGGAAGCAGAGATCAATCAAGCATGCAAGGAACGATCTGGTAAACATTCATGTTGTGGAGGTTTAAAAAATAATGCAGCGTGGAAGAGGCAACTTCGGAGGCTTGTAAATGGCGGAAAAGATGTCAATTAGCTGCGGCGTTAGTTTAGTTGTGACCACCATCAACCCAAGATGCTGGGAATGTCAAGCCGGAACCCTAGTTCCACCGGAGGCATGATGGTGGGAATGTCAAGCCAAAACCCTAGTTCCACCGGAGGCGTCGTGTGAAAACGTTGTTTCCTGGTCAAGTAATTGCTGGAAACCTGCAACATTAATCTCAGGAAAACAGTGTGCATGAAGGCTACTTTGGAGGACGTTACCAGACACAAAAGAACGACTTAGACCACGTCGAGTTACCCCTGGAAAGGTGTCACTGCAGATAATTCATAGGACCAAACGGTGTATCGATCGGAGTTATGGTCCATCCATAAATCGCTGTGGAAGTTGGTCCAGTATGATCCGGATCCGTCATTTCCGAAAACAGTTTTAAAGTTTTTATGCCACTTGTTCAAGTGATCGTAACTGACGCGTTAGGTATCCGATGTGGTCGAAACTTCGTGGAGAGCGTGATGGTACTACAAGAAGGAAGAATCAACGGTGGGATCGAAAAGTGGACGGTTCATTCCTGAGTTATTCATGCGTTTCCGTGGCTCTTCATCAAGCTATCTTAATCGGCAAGTATTTAAAGGTGAGGATGACTCCAATTGATTCTATGAGTTATGCTTGATTGCTTGATAAATAATTATGAATATAAATGTAACACATCTCAGATATATTGCATTTACGTTTTCTTAAAATGAAAATTAATATAAAAAGAGAGTATATAATTCTTACTATAATAACAGGGTGTCAGTTGACCCCATATAGCCTCAAGTGGCTTCGCCACTGGGTGTTAGTCTAAGGGTGTCAAAATTGGTCATTACCCATGGGTTGACCGGTCAAAAAATTTAATAGGTTTGGGTTAAACTTTTTTACCTATATAAATAAATGGGTTTTTGTGAGTTGACCCTAATAGTTTAGGGGTCTAACGAGTTTACCCATTAGGATTACGAGTTATCCATGGATTTCTCAAAAAAAGAAAAAATATAAATTTATAGTTATATTTTATGATTTTATTTTATATTTTACCTAATTATGAGTATTTTAATTTGTTTTAATACACAAATATTACTAGAAATTTATTATTTGGAAGTTTTAGTTGAATTTTTAATAATAAATAGTATATTTTAAAAAAATTATTACTCATTTATTGTAAAAACAAAAAAATATTACTTATTTTTTATATATGTGGATACCCATAAAACCCATTTAACCTATGGGTACTAACATAATTGGGTTTGGGTTATAAATTACAACCTATAAAATAAATGGATCAGGTCATAACCCGACCCTTTAAATGGATCTGGGTTAGGGTGGGGTTGGGTCGAGTTACCCATTTTGACACCCCTAGATGTCACAACGTCCATATGAATTACGAGTAGGCTTGGGCACGGATCGGGTACCCACCAAAATTTACATCAAATTATCTTGAATTTCATAACTTTGATCTTTTAACATATTTTGGTGATTAATATATATGGAGAGGCAACAATGAAATATTCAAAGTATATCATATTGCATATTGAAATATTCAAAGTATATCATATTGTATAAAGAGATAAAGTATATTCAAAGTATATCATATTATATAAAGAGATTTAAGAAAAATGGTTTTTTAAAGACTATGTTTTTTACTTTTTTTGGTAAAGAAAATAGTGAAGAATCAGAGATTCCTAAAGTTAACAAGTTCATTGAATTCACGCGGATTTTCAATATATCTCTCGGGTAACCAATTATTGCTATTTCAACTATTTATTGTTGTCTTTGTATATGCATTAATCACCAAAATATGTTAAAATATGTAAATTTAATATATAAACCGTAAACCTAATATATAAATCTTAAACTCAAACTCCAAAATTCTAAACCTAAAAATATAAATTCAAACCTAATATATAAATACTAAACACAAAATCTAAACTTTAAACCTAAAAAACTAAACCCTAAACCAAAAATGAGAAAAGGAACAAGTTATTATATCTCATACACAAACAAAAAAGTAGTATGGAATTGAATTTTGTACATAAAAGAAGAAGGGCAAAACTGGTATTATTATAGAAAATATATTTTGTATCCTAGCCAAAACTTTAATATGGTTAGTTTGTTAATTTTGGTTTCCAATATGTTTATTCATTACAATTTCCCTTTCTTTTTTTATTTTTGTGCACTAAACTAGTAAGCATTGATTGTGGTCAATGTGAGATGATCACTCAAACACAGAGACTTGTGGTATGCCACATCAACGCAGGTAATTTAACAAACCAAAACAAAAAAGTACTGGTAGGAAATCAAAGTTGAGCTGACACACTTGTTTGTTAGAGCCCACATTGATTGAGTAATATTTTGTTTCAGACAATACTTTGTTCCAAAATATTTATCCAATGCATTTCTTATCTTCTTTTTATCAACAAATCAATATGAAAATTATAGCATTAAAAAGCGTTTTGATTATTCTAAAGGGAAATATGTTATTTAACCAAAAAAGGGAATTTATGTTAACATATATGGCGATCAGTAACATACTGTATATACAAGTTACAACATGCAACTACATATTATAATGAATTTTAAAATTAATTCAATTACATACAATAAGAAAACATATATGTGCATACAGACAATGAACTTTTAATCGATTACAGACAACTACATATCTTTATATTATTAATTGAGAAGTACATGAAAAAATTATGACCAAAAAACCAATCTAATTATAAAGAGAAAATGTTTGGCAACAGATTTAATGAGGGTCAATTTAGTACATTGTAATGTTTGGATACAAGAATAAGAGAAAAAGCTATTTGGATAAAAGAATAAATGGAAAAAATTGTTTGGATACAAGAATAATAACTTAAAACAAACCGATGGTTTAGAAAACTCCGTTTTCCAGCTCTTAAAAATCTGCAAAAAAAAAACTTAACATAATCTAACAATAATACAAATCAATAGAATATGTTTTTTGGATTTTCGGATTTTTATAGACAAGTTCGGGTTTGGGTGAAAATCTTAAGACCTAATTTTATAGAGATATAGAAATTGTTCGGGTTTCTTTGAAAATTTCTGTTCGGGTTGGGTTGAGTTTTTTTTTTCAGTTTAGGGTTTTCCGGATTTTTGGATTTCGGGTTTTCGGGTTTAGATATATTAAAAAAGTTTGAGTATTTTAAAATTTTGATTAGGGTATTTGGGTCGGGTTCCGGGTGAAAAAGTTTCCAGATTTTTTTGTTCAGTTCAGGGTTTTCAAGATTTTTTTTATTTCAGATTTTTGGGTTTAGACATATTAAAAAAGTTTGAGTTTTTAAATTTTTGATTAGGTTTTTTGGTCGGGTTCGGAATTTAGGGTTTAAATTTTCTACACAAAACCAGAAAATCACACCGCACAAACGTGCGGGTACTCTACTAGTTAGGGAGTATTTTGCAATCGTTTAATAAGAATATAAATTTAATTTGCAAGAGCAATTATTGTGAAATAAACATTTTTTTGGTTACATTTCAGAATTTTTTTCGTTACATATTTTCTTTATTGGTTAATCAAAAATGTTATCTACATCCGTATATATAACCAATATGGTAGAGAAGTGCTTACTAACAAGAACAAATATTTCTGATATCAGTTGAATTCAAAGAACCTATATCCATAAAACTTGCAAATCAGGAAATTTTAACGCAAAGGACATTTGAACTAACTTTGTTGAAACCGTAACGAAGAACGATAGATGCGATAGATGACTAAATAATGATTGGGTAGGGGAAGATTGAAAAAAACCACATGAAAATTGGCTTCCTTGACAGTTCACAAAATGGTAGCCATAAAATGGGTAGGGGAAGACAAAAAAAGCCACTTTAAATTATCTCATACATTTACCCTCGACCTTGCAAAACATTATTGGATTGAATCTGCCAATTTAATTTGTTAAAACCTTACTAAGCTTGTTAATTTATATGTTTTTCTTTTCAAGTATTTACTCAAATACATCATCCATTTTTCCCCGTCAATGACATCTAATTAATTCAGGTGCATAGCTTGATTAGCATAAATGTTTTTAGGCCATACAACTTTGGCAGACTAAACTCAAATTTTGAAGTTGTTTCCATTTAACCACTTTTAGACTTCTGATTTTGTATGGTCGTGTTTTTCCTCTCTCCAGCTATATCACAAAATTCTAAAATAAGAAACGTCAAATGGAGAGGTGGGGATCGTAACTGGAGAAAACAGGGTTCAATTCAATGAATATGTTTTGACTATTGTACGAAGAGACCGTACGGTTTCTTAGCAGGAAGACACTCGCACGCACATTTAAACGAGCAAGAAAAGAAATGACCAATTCCACATAATTCAAAGTTTTAAAATAAGAAAAGCATAACATCAATTGATCTTTTGAAATTTGGTAACGAAGAGAAAGACAATAAAGAACCGAAAGGTTAAAAAACAAAATCACGAGCAAATAAATAAAGGTTTGATTTGATTTTTGAACTTTCTCTAAAAGCATGATTCCAATGTGATGCGTCACTTCGTCATGCATTATCATTTCCTTTTCTTTTTGGTATCATATCATCAATGCTTTTTTTACCGATAATCCGTAAAACTAGGCAAACACGAAACAATATAGTTTTACAGGTTTTTTTTATCATTCCCACGACTCTACTGTGACATTTAAAAAATCTAGCAATTACACAATTCTACGTAGAAAAGTAGCCCGTAGCAAAAAAAGAAGAAGAAAAAATGGGTTTTTAAACACTCTTTAACAAATTTACATGACTTTTAACAGAACTAGTCCTAGCGATAATAATACTGCTGATCTTGTCGATCTTGAAAAAACTTAAGACATGTGTGGGTAGAGGGTAGAAAATAATTTACATGGTGAGGTTTTTGATGATGCAATATAGTCAGTGCCTCTTATATCTTTTTGCTTTTGTTAATTTTGAGAGAAAAATGATAGATTGTTCTTCTTTTTGTTAATAAGAAGAAAAAGAAAGTTAAAACTGTCGGATATTTTCTTGTTTGGCTACTGGAATAACCTTGTAAGTTTATTGTTTTGCTCCCCTTTTAATAGTATAGATAAATAGATAGATAGATACTTGCGTGTTGGTGAGTCAGTCTCACGGTCACATATATAGTAAGCAAACAAATAAAAAATTCGAGTTAAGCCCTAAATTTTAAAGGTAATATCCCAACACAAAACTCTGACACATTTAATAATAATAACTCGACACCATATATATACATCCTAAAGAGTTAAAAATCACTTCTCCTGATAACCTAAAGATAATAAACATTGTGCACTAAACTAGTAAGCATTGATTGTGGTCAATGTGAGAGCACTCAAACACAGAGACTTGTAGTATGCGACATCAACATATTGTGAAACAAACATTTTTCGTTATACATTTTCAGAATCTAATTATAAAGTGTAATAAATTTAATAATTCAGAAAAGCATAATCATAAAAATTCACTAACTTATGCATACCATACATTATAGTAAAACATTTTATAGAAGATACATGAAGAAAAAATGATATCATTCATAATATTTCGTAATTTTGTTTTTTATCCAGTCCTAAAGGCCCATGTGTCATGATAAGTTGATCATCCATGTGTATTAATCTCACAAAATCCACAATTTAGGCGTTAAGCCGTGAAGAAATAAATCTTAGCATGGAATTCAAGATTTACTTTTTATACTGTACAAATTATAGGAAAGACGTCAAAAAAAGGTCATAAAATGGTCAAGAATCATTTCATATTCAAGAAGGATTTCTCCACGAACATCCATGTGTAACAATCTCACAAAATTTAGGCGTCACGAAAAGAAACCTTACCATGGAATTATGGATTTACTAGAGAGAGTTTGCTATATGATTTAATCAGCACAACAAAGTTTTCTATATGATATAGAGATATAAAGACAAAAACAATTAAAGTCAAAAGAAATTTCATAGTTCCTGAGAAATTAGGAACATATTTGCGTGTCAGTGAGTCAGTCTCACGCTCACATATTTACAATGAACTCTGACACTATAAAACCCCCATTCGAGTTAAACCCTAATTTAGTCTTAGCAAAAATAAAAAAACCCTAATTTAACAGATAATATCCCAACACAAAACTCGGACATATATAATAATAATAACTCGACACACATATATATACATCCTAAAGAGTTACAAATCACTTCTCCTGATAACCTGCAATAGTGGATGTAAAATAAAAACTAAAGAAAATAAACATTGTGCACTAAACTAGTAAGCATTGTGTGTGGTCACTGTGAGATCACTTAAACACAGAGACTTGTGAGTTCCAGCCAAGGATTGTGTGTGGAGTGTGGACAATAGACTCAACACTAGAATTATATATATTCGCTGTTCTTATAGTCACGAACGGAGACGTAACTATTAGAAAAAGGCGCATGCTGTTTTAGAAAGAGTCGACGTAACAGTCGCTTGAAATTTTCGGGGACACATTCCTCCTCCTGCGACACCTCTGACACCCTCGATCTGTCTCTGCTATCGTCGGTTTCCTTGTTGCTTGCCATCTTCACGGTCGTTTTGATCTGTCACGGAGGCAGCCTTTCTTCTTAGATTGGTCCCTACAAGGCTACAAAGAGCTTTCTTCAAGCTTAAAATATCTTGAACAGTCCTAAGTCAATTATTTTATTTCTACTACTTCACTGATTCTACCTTAGGTGAGAAGTCGACTATATAAACGAGAGTGCTTGGACTCGTTATCTTCATAAACTAGACATAACAAATATCTCTCTTTCTTTCTAAGTATGGAATCAAATTTGCTTTTGGTTACTCAATCCGGTAGCGTTGATGCGTTATATTCTCTTATTGAAGAGGATCCATGCATTCTTCAGAAAGTCGACGATTTACCGTTCATCCACACACCTCTCCATGAAGCTTCATCTACCGGGAAGATGGACTTGGCAATGGAACTAATGGTTTTAAAACCATCTTTTGCCAAGAAACTAAACAATAATGGGTTTAGTCCGTTGCATCTTGCTGTCAAGAACCAGCAAACTGAGTTAGCATCAGAGCTAGTCAAGTTTGATCCTAGTCTTGTTCGTATTCGTGGAAGAGGAGGTACGTATTTGCTTCATGATATGTGTTATGGAATAAGAAAAAAATTAATATATGTAATACTAACGAAAAATTAGAAAAACAGGAAAAAAAAAACAATTAAAAAGTTTTTTTTAAAACATTCCCATTACAAAGAAAAAAACAAAAAATAGAAAAATAGGAAACAAATAATATTTAAAAAAGTTGTTACATTCATTAAGAAAAGGAAAAAAAATATATATGCTCACAATACAAAAAGGAACAATAAGCTATAACCTTCTAATTGTGTATTTTTATTTTTTTGTTTAAACTTTCTCTCACATTAAAATTAAAAAAGCATATCTTTGAAATTTCAATATATCAAAGAAGAATATTAAACTCTATATTAATTGGATCAAAATCGAAATTATTGTTGCAACATATATCTAATATTTGATAAGGTGATGACATATGTTAACACAAGAAAATGTAAAAAAATAATTAGAAAATAACTAAAAAGGCAAATTTACAATGGTATGAGGCAAAAAAATAGAAAAAAAAATTATAAATAACAAACTAACAAAAATATTATCAAGCAACTAACTAATATTAAAAAGATATTTTTTTTTGTTAGGTAAAACAATACTCCCTCTGTTTTATAAAGAGTGTCATTCTACTTTTTCACACATTAAGAAAATTAATAAAAATTCTGTTTTACCTTTTAAATTTAATACATTAAACAATACTCTCTTTCTAATTAATACATTAATACAATAAGGTCAAAATTGGATTTTTATTAATAAAACTGTATTGGAAGTGTAAAGTGACACTATTTGTAAAACAAAAACAAAACTTTAAAATGACACTCTTTTTGAAACGGAAAGAGTATTAAAAAAAAAATCATCAATTGAAATCTCTTTAATGGAATAACTAAAATTTCAAGAATTATTTAATCTATCACATTTAGATATATGTAAGTCTTTCTGTTTTAAATAAAAAATAAAAAGAAAACAAATTAATTCATTTCTCATATCATAAATTCAATACTAGGTTTTAGATATTGGAGTTTAGGTTTAAGGTTAAATTTTAGGGTTTAGGGTTTATAGTCATTTTCCTTAATGAAAAAAGTGTATTTTGAAAATAGACATCTTAGAGATGTAGTTTTAAAAATATACATCCAAGAATGTGTAGTTTTGACATATCCCCTATAATATTTAGAGATTTTGTTAGCGGATTTTTAATACTCCTTCTGTTTCAGAAACTTGATGTTTTAGAGTTTTTTATTTGTTTCACAAAACTTGGATTTTTTAGATTTCTTTTTAATTGTTAATTAAAAAAAAGTAATTTAATTATATGAGATCCAAGAATATTGTTGAATTACTATTGGTTCATATTAATGATAAAGTGACTGGTGAGAGAAAAATGATGCACTTAAAATTATATATTAATTAGTTCTTAACCTAAGCAAAAATCCTACAACATCAAGTTTTTAGAAATAGAGGGAATATTATTTTACCTACTTTTAAAAGTGATCAGAATTTGTTTAATATTTTCTGTGATTTATTTCAAAAATCTTAAAATAAACCTGCTTATACATGGGGCATAATCTAGTGTTTAATATTGTAAGTTAATAAAAATATATAATTTTCAGTTAGTACGTGATGATAGATTTTTATATAATTATTTTTTTGTTGATAACGACAGGTATGACAGCATTGCATATTGTGGCAAAGAAAGGTGACGTGGATCTTCTCACAGAGCTTCTCAGAGCATGTCCTAAGAGCATCAGAGATGCGAATGCAAATGGAGAAACTGCTTTACACGTGGCAGTCATTAACAAAAGATATGAAGAGCTCCAAGTCCTCACTGGGTGGATGCAAAGAGGGCGCCAAAAAGATGATGGCTCCACTGAGAAACACGTCCTTAACAGAGGCGACCGTAATGGCAACACGGCCTTGCACCTAGCGGCGCACGAGAATGATCACAAGGTATATATGTTCTTTTTCTTTTTCTCTTCTTCTGTGAACTGTATGATAGATAGATCTTGTCTAACAAACATTTATATATATACACAGGGAGTGAAACAGCTGTTGAAATGCATGTCTTTGAACCGAAACATCAAGAACAAAGCTGGTATGACAGCCCTAGATGTCTTACAAGACAATGGCTCTCACGTGAACAAAGCTACTGAGAAACTCATAGAAATATCAGGAGGTAAGACTGGTGAATCTCTATCCGAAGTCGAGAAGATGTCTGTCTTCTTGATAAAACCGGTCACATTCAGGGAATATTGCTCAACGGGCATCGCACGATACAGGAGCCAAACGTCAGACGGAACACGAGAAGCTCTTCTAGTGATAACAGCTCTGATCATCACAGCTACTTATCAGTCAGCGGCACAAGACATACGTGAAGTGTCCGATATTAAAGGAGCCATATTAGAGTATGTGTGTCAATGGGGGTTCAACACTGCTGCATTTCTCTTGTCTATTGTCTTGACGTTTATACTCTTGCCAGCTGGTAAAGCATACACTTGGTGGTATATCTTCATAGCGGGGCCTCTCGTATGTTCTTATTGGACTTTGATCTACGTGAAGTATCAACCCTTGCTATTCTACTTCATATATACCCCTGTTGCAATGGGATTACTCATATATCTAATCGTGTTCTACGTGAGGTGGAAGCGTAGCAGACAGGAGAAAGTACCGAAAACCAAGACCGAGCTGATTTCTGAAAGAAACGAGACTATGGTTTAAGTGTTTAACCACTTTCCAAGACACGTGTCACGATCTTAACGGACATAACATTAAAAGTGACACATATCGCGATCTTATAAATTATAAAAATCTAAAAATCCTACGCGTCGCAACCATATCGCGCGCATCCAACTTTATATAATAAGATAATGAAGTTTAAAATTAATTCAATTACATACAATAAGAAAACATATATCTGTATGTGCATACAGACAATGAACTTTTAATCGTTTACAAAAAAATACATATTAGGGAGTATTTTGCAAGAGCAATTATTGTGAAATAAATGTTTTTTCGTTACATTTCAGAATTTAATTATAAAATGTACGTAATTAGTTTAATAATTCAGAAAAAGCATAATCATAAAAATTCACTAACTTATGCATACAATACATTATAGCAAAATATTTTAGAGGGGAATATGAAGAAAAATTATACGCAATACGTGCTGCGTGCATGTGTTATGATCATTAGTTGGTCATCCATATGTACCAGTCTCACAAGATCCACAATTAAGAAAAGAAACCCTAACATGGAATTCATGATTGACTTTTATAAAAAGTTATAGGAAACACATTAAAAGTATAAAAATTACAAAAAAAGGTCAAAAAATTGTCAAGACTCCTCCATACGCTCGACATACTACTCGTGAAAGAATCGTTTGCTATCCAAGAAGGATTCCTCCACGAATCTATTTGTAACAATCTCACAAGATACACAATTTAGGCGTCACAAAAAGAAATCTTACCATGTTTAAGTGTGGCGCTTAAGTGATATTTTTGGTTAAGGATTGGCGGAATAAGTGATTTTTGCTTTCCACTTACTGATTTTTTATCATATCATTAATGTAATGCTATTATACACTAATCAAAATCACAAATTTGCATTTAATAGCAGTTGTTAAAACCGTGCTATCCTAAATGTGCTATTAATGCTCTTTTTCTTTTGTAGTGGGAATTGAATTAAGGATTTACTAGATAATTTCTATATGATTTTAGAAACAAAGAAAACAGTTTTCTATATGATAGAGATAGACTATGAAAACAAAAACAAAAACAAAACTCAAAAGATATTGTATAGTTCTTGCAAACGTTTGGTAATTTTACAAACAAAAAACAAAAGTAATGGTAGGAAATCAAAGTTGAGCTGACACACTTGCTTGTTTGTTCCCACATTGGTTGGGTAATATTTTGTTTCGGACAATACATTTTGTTCCAATTAATGAAGTTTTAAAATTAATTCAATTACAGACAATTATAAAATATATACTCCCTCTGTTTCAAAATATAGGGGTTTAAGACTTTTTTTTTTGTTTCATAATATAAAGTATTTAACTTTTTGGTTGCTTTTTACTTTATTAATTGTGCATATTGTTTTTTCATTGGTTGAATTGTTTTGGAATTAAATGAATAATTAAAAAATTAAATGAATTTTTAATTCTTGTGTCCAACCCTAAAATCCCTTATAATATGAAACATAGGGAGTACGTGGTTTATATAGCATTTTGCAATTGTTTGATAAGCATATTAGGGAGACAATACATATTAGGGAGTATTTTTCAATTGTTTAATAAGCATATAAATTTTGCAAGAACCATTATTGTGAAACAAACATTTTTCGTTATACATTTTCAGAATCTAATTATAAAGTGTAATAAATTTAATAATGCATAATCATTAAAATTCACTAACTTATGCATACGATACATTGTAGTAAAACATTTTATAGAAGAATATGAAGAAAAATTGATATCGTTCATAAAAATTTCGTAATATTGTTTTTTAACCAATCCTATCACTACAAGAAAACAAGGGCTTTTCCAACGGCCAGAACCGTCGTTTTGCCGTTGGAAACAGCCAACACAAACGGATTAGCGACAAAAAAAGTCATCGGGACTATCAGGTGGCTAATTTATCGTCCTCGTAAATCCGTTGGAAATGGCCGACGGATTTGCGACGGATTTGCGAGAGATCCGTTTTCCGACGGATTTGCGAGAGACCCGTTTTCCAACGGCTTTCCAAGGATATTTATAGCATTGGTTTTTCGTTGTTAAACCGTCAGGTCCACATAAGCGACGGAATCCCAACAAGTGGATTCCAAGTGTTTTCGTTGGTTGATTCCCAAGAGATTACCAATCGTTTAATTAGCGTTGGACTTGCCAGAGCTCATCTTTTGCAACGGATTTCAGAGAGATTGTTTACCGACGGGTTTGCAATGGAATATTTACCAACGGATTATCAAGGGATTGTTTTGCAACGAAATCAAGATGGTTTGCCGATGAAAATTTGTAAACTTTTAAAAAAAAAAATTGCCGCCAAAATAGAAACCAAGAGTTAAAAACCAATATATTACATGATAGTAGATTGTTTAAGTAATCCAACATCACAATTTCAAGCATCTAAATACGAAACTAGAATAGTAAGTCTTATCCAAAAACCAAAACATTAGTGTATTTCAAAGCATTCAGATTACATGCATTAGAATTAGAACTATGGCATATCCGGCCACTTGCTTTTCATAAACGCCTCCATTTTAGAGACTCAAGTCTGTGTAGAGGTGAGCTCCTTGTGTACTACACAGCCTCTCTTCTGTTTCTGCTTTGGAAGCTTCCAAAGCATCAACTTTGGCTTTAAGCTCTTCGTTCTGCTGAAGGAGGTCTTCATTGTAGTCAGCAAAGAATGCTGTTGCGGGATCCGTTTCAACAATCTTACCCAGCCCTGAACGACGACCTTTGCGGAGAGGAATCTCCTGCAAAAGCAAACCAAGACAAGTAAGTTATAAGACAAGAGAGAACTATCAAAACAGACAAGAGATATAACTATCAAGACAAGATATAAACAAGTGCGGAAGTGAGCTACAAGAGATAGAAATATCAAGAACTATGCTACAAACTAAAAAAAAAAAACGAAAGTGAGAAGAAAAACCGGAAAGGAGTCTTAATCATATAAACATAAGCTACAAAATCAAAAAAAAAAAATAACGTAAATTAAAACAAAAAATAAGCAGAAACAAGTCTTAAACATAAGAGGCATAACATGAACCTATGCTACAAAATCAAAACCAAAACTTAACAGAAACAAGAAGTTCAAGAAAATCAGAAATGAAAATCAATCAGCAAATGTTCTTGAACGCCAAGTGTTAAATACGTGCATGTGTTATGTTAAGTTGATCATCCATGTGTATTAATCTCACAAAATCCACAATTTAGGCGTTAAGCCGTGAAGAAATAAATCCTAGCATGGAATTCACGATTTACTTTCTTTACAATACTATAGGAAAGACGTCAAAAAAAAAGTTCATAAAATGGTCAAGAATCATTTGATATTCAAGGAGTTCTCCACGAACATCCATGTGTAAGTGTAATTATCTCACAAGATACACAATTTATGCGTCATGAAAAGAAATCCTACCATGGAATTACTGATTGACTGGAGAGAGTTTTCTATATGATTTTATCAACAAAAATAAAGTTTTCTATATGATTGAGATAGACTATAAAAACAAAAACACAAACAAATAAAGTCAAAAGAAATTTTATATTTGCGTGTCAGTGAGTCATCAGTCTCACGCTCACATATAGTATAAGCAAACAAATAATTATCAGTGAACATATTTACAATGAACTCTGACATGCACTAGAAAACCCCATTCCAGTTAAACCCTAATTTAGTCTTAGCAAAAATAAAAAAACCCTAATTTAACAGATAATATCCCAACACAAAACTCGGACACATTTAATAGTAATAACTCGACACACATATATATACATCCTAAAGAGTTACAAATCACTTCTCCTGATAACCTGCAAATCTGTGTAGAATAAAAACTAAAGAAACTAAACATTGTGCACTAAACGAGTAAGCATTGTGTGTGGTCAATGTGAGATCACTCAAACACAGAGACTTGTCCGTTACAGCTACAAGAGACAATAGACTCAGCACATTATAGATATTCTCATATTCCATGTTCTTTTTGGAGTCGCTGCGACCAGCTATAGCGCGATAAAAAAAATAGTCACAAACGGAGACGTACTATTAAAAAAAGTTGCTGTTTTAAAAAGAGTCGACGTTGTTAAAATATAGATTACGAAACAGAGTAAAAAGAAAACAGAGTATATTTAATCTCGAACATGTTTTTACATCAGGGTTTCAATGTGTTTAAATACTAAGACAACAACACAACTAACAGTTGCGACTCTCTTGTGTAAACACAACCTAACCAAGAGTCACAACTTTACAAAGACATCGTTTAATACAAACATTATAATAACTTAGAAACATTAAGACTAAACTCAATTATATTCCAACAGACGTAACGTAACACGGTAACAGTTGCAAGGAGTTGTCGCAAGGCACATAACCGTCGCTTGAAATTTTCAGCGACACATTCCTCCTCCTGGTCCTGGGACATCTCTGTCTCTGCTATCGTCGTTTTTCCTTGTTGCTTGCCATCTGAGGCAGCTGCTAGCGGCTCTTCTCCGAACAGGCATATTTAAATAAAAAAGTTATGTAACGAAAATGTTGGGATCGTTTCTTCTTAGATTGGTCCCTACAAAGAGCTTTCTTCAAGCTTAAAATAATTTGAACAGTCCTAAGTCAATTATTTTACTTCTTCTATTTCACTCATTCTACCTTAGGTGAGAAGTTGCCCTTTTTTTTTGCTTTTAGAAATTGAGACAATATAAACGAGAGTGCTTGGACTCTTTTTCTTCATAAACTGGACATTACAAATATCTCTCTTTCTTTCTAAGTATGGAATCAAAATTGCTTTTGGTTACTCAATCGGGCAGCGTTGATGCGTTGTATTCTCTTATTAAAGAGGATCCATGCATTCTTCAGAAAATCGATGATTTACCTTTCATCCACACACCACTCCATGAAGCTTCATCTACCGGGAAGATAGATTTGGCAATGGAACTAATGATTCTAAAACCATCTTTTGCCAAGAAACTAAACGATGATGGGTTTAGTCCATTGCATCTCGCTGTCGAGAAGCAGCAA